AACTCTTCAATTAAATTGAAAAGGAAGCAATCCTCCCTAAATCATTCCTGGAGGTAAGTATTATTCTCATACCAAAACCAGAGAAAGACCCAACCAAAAAGGAGAACTATCGGCTAGTCTCACTAAAATACCAGCAAATGGAATGCAGCAAATCATCAAGAAGATTATACATCATGACCAAGTGGAATTCATTTCAGGAATGCAGGGATGGTTTAACATATGCAAATCAATAAATGCAATACACCACATCAACAGAGCCAAAAACAAAAACCACGTGGTCATCTCAATAGATGCAAAAAAGCTTTTGATAATGGCCAACACATGTTCATGATAAAAACTCTTCAGAAACTCAGAATACACAGTATCTACCTCAATCACATAAAGGTCATCTAAGACAAATCAACAGCCAATGTTATACTATATGGACAAGAACTGAAAGCTTTCACTCTAAAAACAGGAACAAGACAAGGATGTCCACTATCACCACTCCTATTTGATATAGTTCTGGAAATACTATCCAGGGCAATCAGACAAGAGAGAGAAATAAAAGGAATAAAGATAGGAAAGGAAGTAGTTAAACTATCACTATGTGCAGATGACATGATACTCTACATAGAAGACCCCAAAAACTCCATTACTATAGGTAATAAACAAATTCAGCAGTGTAGCTGGATACAAAGTCAATGCTCAAAAATCAACAGTGTTCCTTTACACAAACAAAAACTCACTGAAAGAGAAATTACAGAAATAGGGCCTTTCACAATAGCATCTAAAAAATGAAATACTTAGGAATCAACCTAAGAATGTGAAAGACTTATATGTTGAAAATTATGCTACACTAAAAAAGGAGATTGAAGAGGATATTAGAAAATGGAAGGATATTCCTTGCTCTTTGCAAGGAAGAACAAATATTGTGAAAATGGTCATGATCCCAAAACTGTTACACAGATTTAATGCAATTCCAATTAAAATACCTCACAGATCTAGAAAAAACACTTCTAAAATTCATTTGGAAACAGAACAAATCTGGAATAGCAAAGGCAGTTCTGAGCAACAAAGACAAGGCAGGAGGCATCTCAATTCCTGACTTGAAACTATACTACAAACCCACAGTGATACAATCCACATGGTACTGGCAAAGAAGTAGACCTGAAGATCAGTGGAACAGATTAGAAGATGCAAACACAACTACAAAGACCCTCAGTCACCTGATATTCAACAACGGTGCTGAACATGTTCACAGGAATAAGGATAGTCTCTTTAAGAAATGGTGTTGGAAAAATTGGCTCTCCACAGGTTGAAGACTGAAATTAGACCGCTGCCTATCACCATGCACAAAACTAAAATCTAAATGGATCACAGATCTAAATATTAAAACAGAAACACTAATGTACTGGAAGACAAGGTAGGTAGAAATCTTGGTGTCATAGGGGTAGGCAGAGAATTCACGAACAAAATACAAACTGCACAGGAAACATTTCAAAGAATCAACAACAGGGAACTCATATTATTGAAAAGTTTCTGCACTTCAAAAGAAATCACCAACAGAGTGAAAAGAAAACCCGCTGAATGGGCAAGATTTACAACCATCAACACCTCAGACAAAGGACATATCCAGAACATATAAAGAATTGAAAAACTTTAGTCCCCCAAATTCAAAGACTCTCTCCAAAAAGGGGCATCTGAAAGGAACACACAGTTCAGATGAAGATGTACAAATGGCAAAGAAATGTTCACTATCACTGGTCATTTGAGAAATGCAAATTAAAACAGCATTGAGATTTCATCTCACTCCAGAAAGAATGGCTGCCATCAAGAAATCAACTGAAAATAAATGTTGGTGAGGCTGCAGGGAAAAATAAACACTGCTCCATTGTTGTTGGGAGTGTAGACTGGTGCAACCAATATGGAAATCAGTATGGAGATTTCTGAGAAGACTAGGATTGGAAGTTCCATTTAATCCAGCTATTCATCTCATGGTTATTTCCCTCCCCCAATTGAAAAGATCATGTCACAGTGATATATGTGCACCCATGTTCACAGCAGCACAATTTGTAATAGCTAAATCTTTGAAACAACCAAAATGCCCTTCAACTTCAGAGTGGATGAAAAAGGTGTGGTATTTATACAATGGAGTACTACTGAGCTATAAAAAGATGATCTTGAGGCCTTCATAAGTAAATGGAAGCAACTTGAGACTGCCCACATAAGTGAAATAAATAAGAATCATATTTATAAGTATCACAATGTGTGTCAAGTGTAAAAAGTAATAAGAATTGTAGGAATAATAAAATGCAAAGTGTGTAACTGCTATTGTAAAAAAGAGAGAAAAAGAAAGTCCTTTTAAGGATATAACTGCTTGTATGTTTAAGTGGGTAAGATAGATGACCATATTACTGTTTTTGTTGGATCATTGAGCAGAACGGTTTGCAGTCTCACTGTTTGAATGTCCACTTTGTATACTTTAATTTTGTAACTTGAACAATTATTTCTAAGATGACAATATGTAATTTATCAACTTGTGATTTCTTAGTGTTTATTTTTGAAATTCGCTATTATTTCTACCCTTTTTTGTTTTGCTTTTTTCTCTTTAAATATAATTAGAAAAATAGTGTAACATTAAAATGTAATGCAAGATTTCAATCATTTCATTACTTACAATAAGAAAAAAAAAGCTAAGAAGGTTGAAAATTGATGATGTTTCTTGGATCCATCTATCCTTGAGGTTCCAGGGAACAGTGGAACATTAAAATATATTGAAACAAGTGAATGCAAAGACTTGCAGACAAGATCACCTTACTTGGAACAGAAGCCACTAAGAAAAAACACTACATAGTAATTTTGGTGAATTTCTGGACGCTAAGTGTGCCACTAGAGTGACAGCAAGACCCTCCGGGGGTCAGAAGTGTTGTATGTAATTGTTTGGGGCAGAAGCTGTAGCTCGAGGGGCTGAGGATGTAACTCAGTGGGCGTGTACTTGCCTAGCATGCGTGAGACCCTACATTCAGTCCCAAGCATCACCACCCAAAAAAGCTGTAGGCCTAGAAAAATATATCTGCTTCTAGAGGCAGAAGAAAAATACTCTGACCTCTCTCATCTTTCATGTTGCCATCTCTTGAGATGCCTTTCTATTCTATTGGTCAAATTCAAAGAGAAGCCAGACATTGAAGAAGAGAATCAGTGATGTTCTATTCACATACATTGTGTTCCACCACTTCAGGAAGTGTTAAGTCAGGATAATCGAGAATAAAACCAGTATAAAGCTTGGCCATAGCAGAGTTGGACGTGGTACAGCTCTTTTGCCCCTTTTATTCTTTCATTTTACTCTAATCACCTTTTGCCCTGGTTCATCTGTTTTCAGACATATCTCATAAAAATCCACTAATAGCGTCAAAAACAATCACCTTATGATAGTTTTAGCAAACCATGTCCAGCTTAATATTTTCAAATAGTCATAAACATTGGTTTTTAAAGCAAAATGTATAAAGAACACAAGGTTTTGTCATATTGTTACCTATTGCTACATGTAATCATTTATGAAATGGTTACATGTGTTGTAAAGTTATACATTGAAATAAGACATAATTTTTTACTTGAATTAAATTCAACTCTCATTATTGTATGAACTTACTCTTATAAGTCACTTGCAGTTCCTGAATAAACTATCCATCATTTACCATAGATTTGGAAATATAATTCTTTAGATGTAATGATAATACAATTTTATTAATCCTTATAATAAATGCTGAGCCCCAGATGCATTTCAAACTTCAGATATTTTTAGATTCTGGAATACCTACATGAATAATGAAATATCCCAGAGCTAGGACTTAAGTTTAATCATGAAATTCACTTGTGCTTTATATGTACCTCATGCATATAATCTGAGAACAATAATATACAATATTTGTAGTATACCTGCTTTGATTATGATATGAAAACAGATGGGGAATTTTCCACTAGATGTCACATTGGAGTTTAAAAACTTTTGAAATTAGGAAATATTGTATTTCAGATTTTCAGAGTAAGATGTTCAACCTGTATGTATAAAATACAGTGGCAAAATATTTAATGATATAAAGAGTTCATAAAATGAATAAAAAAAGATTAAAGCACATAAATAAATGAGAATAGGATATAAATAACACAAATTGTAAAAATATAAAACTGTAACCTTCTGATTAATTTGAAAGTAAGACTATTTTAATGTTATATGAGCAAACATGTATATCTATTTAGGAAATTATGTTGGGCTAAATGACCACACCTATATTTAAAAGCGCATTGGGAAAAGGAGATGAAATTTTTGTATGAAGAAATACTCTTTTTCAGGGGCTGGGGATTTAGCTCAGTGGCATAAGCGCCTGCCTTGCAAGCAGGCGGTCCTGAGTTCGATCCCCGGTACCGATAAAAATGAAAAAGACAAAAAAAAAATACTCTTTTTCAATTTTGTTTAATTTCTCTATTTTTCCATTATGCACAGTTTTGGTCAATATTAAAAAAAGTTTTAAAGGAATATAATGCAGAATGGTGTTATATCATGTATCACCCAAAACGGACATAGGCATCTTGTTTGGTCTTCAAATGTTTTCTGATGATATCCAGAATAAATGGGTAATTTTAAAGAAGCAAACAGCAAAATAAAAAATGCACATAACAAATATAACTGATTAATGTAAAATCCATCGAAACAAGTGAATGCAATGACTTGCAGACAAGCTCAGCTTATGTGATGTGATGTGATGTAATGTAATGTAATGTAATGTAATGTAATTAAAGTAAAATGGTAGCAAATACACAGAAAACTGTTGAAGTGGCAAGGGAAGTAAAAAAAACCTGAATATTAGTATGCAAAATTTTTAAAATCTGAGCAAATATTACAATGACTCCCTTGATTTCAAAAACGTATATTTGAATTGCTTTTCCAATGTGTGGTTATTCACTAGTGAGCTCAAGGGTTTCCTAATTCTTGTGGATGTTAAAATAATTACTGGAAAGCATTCAGGAGGAAAATATTTTATTGTTCTCATATGTAAAAGAAAATCCATAAAACTGTCATAAACCAGGGTGAAATAGACACACTGCTTATGGCTACTGAATATACCTGTCACTTGTTTTAACTGTTTCAACAAGAGAATGTTTTTGTAAATGGTAAAAGAAAGTCATATTTCAAAAAATGCTAAGTTTATAATTTATTTCCACAATGTCCAATGCTCTTCTCTTTGGGTGATTCTAGTAATATATTACTATTATTTTATATTGCCTTTATGGTATACTTTCTATTTTTCCTAAGCCTAAGAAGAAGAATTTAAAAATGCACTCATTGATTGGCTAGATATATAAAATACATCTTGATATTAAATGATCTTTTAAATTATGCATATTGCTAATTATCACATAAAAAGTATGATTATAGGACACCAACAAATATTAATTAAACCCTGAGGTTTTAAGGCTCTTCTGAATGAGGAAGGAGTTTCCATCTCATGGTTTCATCAACTTCTTCATTAACATTTTCCAGCTCTTGCTCCTTAGAAAACTCTAGGAATACCTAAATAGCAGACAAAGGACAAGGAAAAGGAATTATCATGTTGATTGTCTTCCAAATGAAAAAAGAAAATGCATGATTGCTATCTTGTGAAAGGTACAGGGATAACGCAGAGTCTACTGAATTGACTCACATTTTCCAGTGTGCACTGAGACAGGCTATAGTCTTCCAGATTAAGGGTGTGTTTCACTGGGGAGAAAATAAAGGGAGGAGAAGGAGACATTGACAGTTAATTACCAAAAATTATTTCAGTCATATACATTTAAAATACATTCTATTGACACATATAGAGCATAAATTAAAAACGAATATTGGCAGAGGGATGAAACAATAATTGTCACAAAGAGTTAGTTTGAATGCATATTAACTTAGATGCATTCTTAGATGTTAAAGTTTGTTCGCATTAGTTTTGATAATGAATTGTATTGCTTACAATTCATAAGTGTCATAAGGAGATATATATGTTTCTTGATGAATGACAGCGGTGATTGATGTGTTCTCTGCATGAGATAAATTTCAATCCTTTCTTAAACTCTTTAAGGACCCAGTACTCTATTCTGCAGACCTGTCTGTCATTCCAGGTCTCTACTGGGCTTCTATGCCCGGTAATCTGTGGGAAATTTGTCACTGGGTTGACATATTCACATGTATCATTTATATAGTAAGAGTTTCTGATGTGAAATGTACTTTTAGATGTCAGGAAAAGACAAAGAAAACATCAAAATTTGTCTTTGTGTTTGTATCTTAGTAGAAAGTACAGACATTAAATATGTGCTTATTCATACTTAAATGTAGAATAAAATAAATGCTAGTAGCTATGGAGAAAAACGAAACAGATGAAGAACTGAGGGAGAGCTGCACACTTTTTTAGTAAGATGTCAGGAACAGATACAGTGATCAGCCGATAATTGAACAGAAACCTGAGAAAGAGCAGGATATTTAGGGAGAATTCCACAAAGAAGAATTAGCAAATGCAAAGTTCTAAAACTTACAGGGCTTGCTTTTAAAATATGTTACACAATTATGTCTCAAATTATTAGTCAAGTGTGATCTTTGGAAATTTTTATTTAAATATAGTCATTCCTACCTTGTTCCAGTTTGTGAAATGCCTGAGATAAAGGGTAAACATTGCCTATTGGCAGCTTATAAGTCAGCAAGGTGGAGTACCTGGGGACAGAAACACATCGTATCCAACTCTGAATTTCAAAGGGAGAAGACAACCATCAAAATAAATATTGACATGATCAACTCTTCCTTTTTAAAATAAGTAATGTATGACTTTTTATTATACAAAGTAATGTATACAAAATCAAAATTATTTACCAATGGAGATAAGTTGTAATGATTTTTAGTACCTAATTGTTCTAAACAGTTCATATATATATATACATATATACATATATGGTGTTCATTTGTTGAAAGCAGATATTTTAACCTAGACCCTCTAATTAGTGTAGATAGGGAACTAAGCTGAAATGAAAGATCTGCCTTGTCACCCAAAAACTGACCTGTAAGGAGTTATAAGGGAGTGGGTAGCTGCAGAGGGAGGACCTGAAGACCTCCCTGACCTCTAGGAGCAGCCAGCACTGACTTGGCCACTTGCTTCCGTGAGTTACCTTCAGCTATATGACCTCATGTCCTACTCTTAGCTCATTCCAAAGGAAGAGGGTGGTGCTACCAGCAGACCCTAAGCCCCACCAGACCTCCAAAACTTCCTTTTATCATAGTAGCCCCTGCTCTTCACATAGTAACCAGTCACGACCTGCCTGCATACAGCAAATTCACTTCTATGATTTGTGACATGGGAAGAACTGAATTACATGTCCTGGCATTTAATACCTTAGATAATGCATTATATTTATAGTGTGCTAAAATTAAAAGAGTAGATGTGTGCCTTGCTTCTTCAATGTGTTTATCATTCTAAGGAATTTTAAACTCAGCTCCTGTTCCACCCTCTTGCCTTTCCCCCATTAACATGCAGACATACACAAATGAACATGCACAGATGTCTCTCTCTTTCTTCCTCTCTCTCTCCGTCATTCCCTCTCTCTCTTTCTGTCTCCCCTCCCTTCCCTCCCCTCCCATCCCTTCCTCTCCCCTCCCCTCCCCTCCCCTCCTCTCCTCCCCTCCCCTCTCCTCTCCCCTCCCATCCCTTCCTCTCCCCTCCCCTCCCCTCCTCTCCTCCCCTTCTCTCCTCTCCCCTTCCTCTCTCCTCCCTCCCCTCCCCTCCTCTCCCCTCCCCTCCTCTCCTCTCCTCTCCTCTCCTCATTCTCCCCTTCCCTCCCCTCCTCTCTCTGTCTCTGTCTCTATCTCTTTCTGTCTCTGTCTCTCTCTCTCTTCCTCCACTTTAGAGTACAAACATTTTATTAAAGTCAGACTCCATACTGATGGTTGTTTGTTTCCTATCAAGATGGAGTCGGTGGGGGTCACAGGTTCTTGAGTTGCTAATCTCTTTTACAAACTGGAAAACTCAATACATATGTTTTTGTGATGCCTGTCTATTTTAAAGACAACTCATCATGAATTCTCACAGACATTAAAACAAAACACTGAGTGGGTAAATCCTCCATGTTTCTCCATAGCCAAGAAAGCTCTTTTCACCTTTCTGGCTGTGCAGCCTGTGGGAAACATTTCAGAATCTCAGAGTGGACCAAAGGCACTTGAGAAGGTTCCTCTACTTTTAGCTGTAGAATGTAATCCTTGCCAAATTTTCTTTTCAGGTGTTGGATGGAGCCAATGCATCTGTGGACAGAAAGAAAAACATATTGGGAAAAATATGGGATTTCATTTATCTTATTAAATTTCACATGTAGTAAAGAAGGTGTCAGTGAAAAAACCAAAACTTAAGGCTGCAGAAGGCACAGTGGTTTTAGCCTTTCCATGAGGAATTTTGTTGCGGGTGCTAAGCACAGGCTTTGGAGAGACACCCACCTCAGCCTTCCTGACACCATGATAGCCACGCGGTCACACAGAGCCTCGGCTTCAGCCAGGTAATGGGTGGTCAGGAGGATGGCCCTGTCTTTGTTTTTAACAGACATCTGAATTGCTTGCCTGAAATGAGTCAAGAAATTAATAATACTTTAAAAAGTACAGAGCAATAACTAGTCATATTAAGATGCTAATTCAAAAACTCTAGGGAAATATGAATACTGGCTAACTTGTATGATTTTTTGGATTTTCTTTTTCTTTTTCCTTTTCTTTTCTTTCTCTCTCTTTTTCTTTCTTTCTCTTTCTTCTTTCTTTCTTTCTCTCTTTCTTTCTTCCTCTCCTTCTTTCTTTTTTGAGACAGAGTTTCATTGTGTAGTTCAGCTTGGCCTTGAGTTCACTGTGTAACACAGGCTGGCCTTGAACTCACAGTGATCCTCCTGCCTCAGCCTCCAGAAGACTAAGTTTAGGGAATCACCATGCCCAGTTCTGACTAGCTTTTTGATAATATAAAGGAAAGGTTTAATAATTTGAAACATGTTCATAGTGTTGTAAATAAGGTAAAAAAAGTCTTCTTGTCTTCTGAGACACTAATTGAAATATTTACAGATAAAAGGATACAATGCCTCATATCCCCTTTGAATAATTTAAGGATAAAGGAATAAAGTGGATAGAAGTCTAGATAAAACAAAGATGTATTTCTATTGATTGCTGTTGAAACTTGTTATTAACTCTAAAGGATTATAAATGTCTTTTACTACGTTTGTATAGAATTCCAAAGCACAATGTTTTTAAAAACTGGGATGAAGCATTGGACAGTCACAAATATGAAACTGGATTGGAGGCTATTTTAGTACAAAGATTAATTCATAGATCAAAAAGTAGGAAGAAAAAAATCTGTAAAATTGGATAGCCAAATTTCAGAGTAAACAAAAGGGGGAAAACAGTGGGAAAATTAGTCTCTAGGAAAGAGTAAATGAAAAAGAAAACAGTTATAAATATTTCAATAATTAAATGATAAAATTAAAATGCATTCCAAATTAAAATACCTTAAACTTCAACAAAATACTTAGATTTTTTAAGCATAAGTACTATAAAACTATAATGCAGATTAGATCATTTGTTTGTTCATTTTTTTCACTAATAATTTGAATTGTCTTTGCTGTATTCTGGATTTTTAATGTCCCCTAATGGCCCATATAATAAAGGCTTATTTCCTCGGGTTGTGCTACTAAGAAGTGGTGGAATGGTAAAATCATTTAGTGACAGTTCTCTTGCTCTGAAAGGGGATTATGAGGCCTTAGAGCCTTTTTTCTTTGTTTCTTGGCCCGTGAGTTAACCAGTTTTGCTCTGCTATGTTCTCCCACAGTGATATCACAGGCCCACCATAATGGGGTCAGCTGGTGAGAACTGGAAACTCTAAAACTGTGAACCAAACTACACCTTTCATCTTTGTGAGCTGTCCCGTGTGTAACAATACAGTGCCGGCTGGTATGGTTAATAATATATCAGTTTCCTGCCATTGTGACAAAATTTGTCAGAGAATCAACTTCAAGTTTGTTTTGGCTCACGGTTTGAGTCCACAGTCAGCTGGATTGGGTGTGGCCTATGAAAAGGCAGGACATGGTGGGACAGCGGGCACAGGACAAAAAGCTGCTCCCCTCCCAGTAGCAAGGATGCAAGAAGAAAGGCCAATGTCCCAATGTCTTTTACAAGGACATGCTTCCAAAGACTCCACTTCTTTACTCTAGACCTCACCTTCTAAACAGTCCACCAACTTCCAGTAACACCACAGGCCGGGGACTAAGCCTTCAATTTATGAACCACTTAGTGACATTTAAGATCCAAACTATAGAAGCTGATTAACACAATCTCCACTGGATTACAAAGGAATTAGCAGGTGTGAAGGTTAATTTTCCAAGACTGACTTATAGACTTTAAGTAAGGCTTGTACTCTAGCTCTTTGGATTATGATAATACCATATCTGATGCAGCCCTGCTGGATCTATGCCTGTAGATGGTTCATCCAGAAGCAGAACAGGTGAATCTCCCAGGATGCTCAGCACAAAACACAGCTGCAAAGCACAAAAACATCCCTAGTTACTTCTGTATCACGTCAGCCCTCAGGCACCATCAAAGACCATACATACCTTCCTGGTGGTTCCTGCTGCTAAGTTTCTCACCGGCATATTCAGATGTTCATGCAGTTTGAAAGTATTCACCAATCTGATAGAAATAAGGTGACAATATCAGGTCAAGAAAGATGTTCAGGAAGATGCAGGCACACAGAACTGAAAAGGCAAGCTTGGTAGTATTACTTGCAAAGCTTCAAATCACAATACTTTTATTGACTTATTTTTTGGAGCATGACGTATTTTTCATTTCAAAAAAGTTTTTTTAAAAAAGAAAAAACTAGAATTCTACATAAAAAATGAAAATTATGGTCATTGCATCCCAGCTTTTTATTAGAAAACTGAAGCGGTGGTGCTTGTGATTTCATCTGCTGATAACTTTTCCGTTACTTTATGTAGCCATTTTTGTAAAGCTCCCTCATTCAGGATGTAGGAAACCAGATCTTGTTCCCCAAACTTCCTCCAACACTCTGAAAACATGAAAATGCCTTCCTTCCTGGATTCTTTATTAGTGAATTCAGCTTCAGTGGTGACACCTCCCTCCCTCTTGACACAAAGGAATCGCAGGACTTTGCTCTACCGTGAAATGATAACCGCAGAGTCCCCTTTTCTGAGTCCTTTCACAGCAGCGTACACCTCCAGGTGTTCTTTCATTGTCAGTCTGGGCCACAGCACGTTCTCCTGAGGACAGTAACCCGGGAGTGTGACCATGTCCTCTCCCTGATCATCCAAAGCTGTACCACATTCTTTCAGTTTTACCTACAAAGTAAAACGGCTTTAGAACACAAGGTAAAATTGATCAGGATCACTAACATGCAGCTATTAAAGCCTCAAATGTTACAGCATCAAAGAAGTCTCACATAAATTTCTTCATACTGGTGATACAATATAATGTAATTGAGTAACCTAAAATTATAGTCTTGCATAAGAGGGAAGAAAAAACCTGATAAATGTAGGTGTTTCCTGAGAATCTGTGTGAAGAAAATATCCTTCACTGCTGGTCACATTCCAATTCCTGTTATACATTTTTAAATTCCCAGCAAAGGTAGTAAAAGAAAAACATGATTCTAACCAAAGACAAGAGTATGTAGTCTACATTTATCATGAAACTTCTATTAGCATTTCCTTGTTTTTCACTACCTCTCCAGCCGTTGGCTTTGTGATCCCAGCTATCATCCTAATAGAGGAACTTTTACCAGCACCATTGGGTCCTAGCAATCCAAAAACTTCACCTGAAAGAGAAGAATCAGGTCATTAATCCTGGAAATGAAATACTGACTCACATTATCTAGTTTCTTCATTGAAATCTTCAGAGATTTAGTCACCCCACAATTAATGACATTTAAAATTTGTAACATATATGGAATCCATCTCATGAAATATTATTATAATTATATAAAATATTACCAAAATGCTTTTGCCTTTCATATTGTTATGGCTGTCTTTTTCTTCAAATCCTTGCTGTAGTTTAAAATGTACCAACTTTTTTCTATGGTAGATGGTTGATATGTAGAGTATATAGATAAATGATTCCTAAAACTCGGAGCCTGGTGACATTTCTTTCATCCCAAATTCAACTTCTTAGGTCTAAACTACCCAGTTGTGTGAACTGATACAAACTGCCCCCTACCCAAATCCATAAACAAACAGCACTCAGTATGTAATCTCAAAATATTAAACCCCTCCAAAGTCATTCCACTAACTGTTGTTTAAAAATTCTGTTTCTAACGGGGCATGAGAGTGCATGCCTGTAATCTCAGGACAATGGGAGACTGAAGCAGGAGACTCATAAGTTTGGAACTAGGTAATTTGGCTACGTAGCAAGACCATGTCTCACAATAAAAAGGACTGGGTATGTAACTCAGGAAAAAGGCCTTAGATTCAATACCCAGTACTGGAAAAAATAAAACTTATTCCTGATGCAGCTGCATCCATCTCATTGAATTCATCTCTTCCATTCATAGGTTCATCCAGTGACCTCTCTGTATGAGATGCAACCATTTCAAACATGTCTCTATGCCTGTGTCCCTGTCCTTGCAATTTCTTCTACTTGACTGCTCTTATCTTTAATGTCCGTATAGTTAGTACTTCAATGCCATGTAGAGCTTGGTTGAAATGTCACTGTTCAAGTGAGGCCTTCCCTGATTCTACACACTCCTGTCATCTCACCTATTTCACTGTTCCACATATAACGCATTTAATACCTGATGCCGTTTACTTTTATTTTCAGATCCCCTCTTTGCATATGAAATCCATGAGGGAAGAGAGTTTGCTTATTTCCTGCATAATTGTCTTTCCAGACCCTTCAACAGTCCCCAACACACTGCAAAAACATGTTGGATGAATGAGTGAATGAAAGCTTTGGCAAGTAAAATGTTGCCCTCAACACAGATTTTCATGAGTATTTCAAACTGTAATGATCAATTTAAAAAGTGATCACTTCAAACCTTTCTTAATAGAGAAAGAGATATTTCTTGTTGCTAATTTCTTCTTCCTCTTTGAAAAGCAATTTTTCTTCTGGCCTGCATATTCTTTGTGCAGACAGCTGGCAATTATGGTTGGTTTCTAGAAAAGATGACAACATGATTTTCCTCCTTTATGTCTATTTTTATGTTTTATGTTTTATGTTTTATGTTCTCCTTACTGTAACCTTTCATGACCTTTGTCATAAAACAAGCCATACTTTGAGGTGCAGATAATCCATACTGTTTGTCACAAATACCACATACCCTTACTAGCACAGACATCCATTATTTCTAAATACACTGGCAAAACTGCATAATTTCGTGGAAACCAGTTCATGGAAACATAACATCTGAGTCAAATAAATGAGTAATCCTTAAAAATCTTAATCTCTATTTAGTATGCTACCACAAATCTTACATACATTCTTTAAATCACAAAGTCTTCATTTTTAAATTATAGCACTAATTATGAAGACGCTATGTGAAAAGTAGAATGTAAACATGCTATTTGTGTCTTGGTTACTAGGACACTCTGAAGAAATGCCTGCCTAATTAAGGATTAAAAGTACACCAAATCCAACTTCCAGGAGAACATGGCAGGTAGATAACAGCAGCTACAGTGGCTGAGATAGCTAGCTTAGATTCGAGGAATGGTGTGGTGTGGGGAGTCCTAAGCAGGGGGTGATATACCCTGACGATCCAGGAATGAACTAAGCTGAGAGAAACCAATTGGAAATGCAATCCCAGTGCTAGGATTGGAACAGCTAAAGTCTCAGTGCTGAAGCTGGAACTCATGCCTCTGGAAACCACAGCTTGAATTTCCTGTTGCCACTGCTGCATCTGAATTGGCACAGCAGGGATAGAGATGTGAAAGCTCTGAGAGTGGGAATTGGTGAACCGAATTGTGATCAGAGCTGGTGGGGAGCCCTGCATCAACCTGCGGTGAGTGAGAGGAACAGGCACCGTTCCATAGACTAGGAGGCTCCAACAGAAGACATTCTGGGACTGGGCAGACTAGCCGGAACAGGACGCTGCAGTGACTTCAGTCACATATTCCCCTCTCAAGCGGGAATGGGGGGAGTGCTTGACCTGGGTGACACCACGGACTAAGACCCAGTAGGCTAGCACAAACCAGGTCCCTCTGCCTAGCAGTGCACCCTAATGCAGTGAAGCCTTCAGCAGGTTGACTGCTGCCTGGAGGGGTGGGCCCAGCATAGGCTGCCCAGGTCTGTGTCTCCCTAGTACACTGGAGTGGGCGGGAACACCTAGCCGGCATGATTCAAACAAACTGTAAACAACAAAGAAAGAAACTGGGCCTCCTATATACGCTTGTATGGAAGGAACAAAAAAGTATGGGGAGCAACAAGAAAAGGTCCTCAGTCCCCAATCCTGAGAACACTGATCCAGGAAAGGTAAATGCAAAGGAGAATGAGGACAGAGAACATGCAATAACAGGCATGGCACCAATAGACATAAAGCAATAGCTCCGGGACCTCATAGATGAGTTCAAAAGTGAAGTATTTGACCAAGCAAAGCAAGATATAAATAGAATAGTTAAAGAAATGCTAAGCGCCTCCCAAGAAAAAACACATGGTGGAATGGAAGAACAGAACAAAAAGGGAGAATTTTTTGATGAAGAAAATAGAGAAAATGTAGAATACATGAAGCAGTTTCAAAGAGATTACCAGGGAACTAAAAACTCAAAAGCTGGCATAACAGCTCAAAAGAAACTAAGGATAGATTATCTGAACTGGAGGACAGATTTGTAATGTGGTAGCATGAAAGGAAAAACTTCTTAAAAATAACAAGGAAACAAGCAGTAACAATACAAAGGCTAGAAGATGACAAGAGGATCTATAACTTAAGAATTAAGAATGTAAGGAAGCAGGGGTACAAACAAATGAACTGCAAAGACTATTCACAGAAATAATCCAGGAGAACTTCCCTAATATGGGAAAAGGTAAAGATACTCAGATGTATGAGGCATACAGGACCCCAGCCACCCATAACCTAAACAGAACCACACCCAGGCATATAATAATCAAAATTCCAGGAATCCAATATAAGAACAGAATATTAAAAGCTGTCAGAGACAAGAGACAGATCACTTACAAGGGAATACCTATCAGAATTACAGCAGACATCTCAGCACAAACCATCAAATCACAAAGCATGGGGCAAAATAATTCAAGCTTTGAAAGACAATAACCTCCAGCCAAGATTGATATATCCTGCACAACTGTCCCTAGAAATTAATGGAGAAACAAGATGCTTCCAGGATAAAGAGGAACTAGGAGAATTTGCAACCACCAATCCAACTCTACAGAGAGTACTGCAGGACATTCTAAAAGAGAAAAATACCAAGATTCCAGAATCAGTGGCAGAGAGGCCACAATGAATGAAGCAGAAAGTGGCATGAAGAAGAGAAACTGACAACTAAGAAAAGAGCTCAACAAAAATGAGGTAGAGACGGTTGGATGGTAGGAACAGCTATTTTGGAGAAAACAAGACATCATAATAGCTAGTGCTGATTTAATATCATCTTGTTTTGAAGTCCCCTCAAGCTTTTTTTCTTCTGTCTCCATCGGTCTTAACATGTTGTATCTTATTGGATTTTATTACATGTGATAATATAAACAAAAACTTTTATAGACAAGGGGATAATACAGAAACCATTGTTCATTTTCTGTTAATTGGTTTTAAATACCCTGTAATACTGTCATTCTCTTGAATTGTTTTACATTGTCTTGATATGTTTGATACTACAGTACGTGAAATTATACTCAAAGATTATAAGGAAAGAGACACTATGGTAACTATTTTTATGTCGGGATATCTTGTGGTGAAACACTATTTTGATTAAATTGTTATGTTCTGACCTGTGTTTTGTCATAATGTCCTCTTTTATCTCAATCTCCTTTTTTATTCTTTATTTTTATGTTTTTAATTAAGGGAAAAAATAAAAAATAGCAGGATATATTATAGTAACCCACTTTGATTTCCTATTAACTTGATTTGAAACTCTGTATTGCTCTCACTATCTTGTTTGAATGATTTTACTCTATTCTGTTTTGCTTGATAGCCAAGTTTGAGAGTATAGGCAACAACTGTGAAGACAATAAGATTCACTATGATGCCCATTCCGGTTTGACTATTATCTTCTTTTGAAGTCCTGTAATGTCTCCAATGTTTTTGTTTTATTGGTTTTGTCCTTTACTGTTTTGTTCAATTTTATTATAACTGATGATATAGGCAATTCTTTTTAAGATAGCAAGAAGCATTATGACAACCATTGTTGATCACCTTGTATTCTGTTTTTACATTATGTACTTTGTCCATCCTTTTGATTTGACTGACTCTGTTTTGTTATGTCACATTTGGTTTTATTCTCTTCAAAAAAAAAGTAATAAGAACTGTGGGAGTAATAAAACCCAAGATGTGTAATTGTCATTGTAAAAAAGAAAGGAAAAGAAAGTGCTCTAAAAGATATAACTGCATGTATATTTAAGCATATAAGATAGATAACCATATTACTGAGTTTTTGTTGGATCATTTAACAGAACTGCTTACAGTCTCACTGTTTGAATGCCCACTTTATATGCTTTAATTTTGTAACAAACAACTATTTTTAAGATGACATTATGTAATTTATTAACTAGTGATTTCCTACTGCTTATTTTATTTTATTTTATTTTTTGAAATTCTGTATAGCTTGTACCCTTCTGGTTTTTTTTTCTTTTTTTCCTCAAATAAAATTTTAAACAAAAGTAGACCAAATCCTGAGTTTTCCAAATGAAACAGGGATATAAAATTCTATTCTGGAAAATTCTTGGATATTTCCAATCACATCTACTGTATCATTTGATTTTCTACCTCATCTAAGTTTGAAGTGGTCAGAGCAGTTGACGTTCTTATTCTTTCTGCTTGAACGTCTTCATCTTCATCTCCAGGTTCTTCTGGATTTGGTCGAGCTTCTGGACTTTGGGGAGAAATTCTGTGAAGAAATGAATTACACTGGTCTTCTAATTGACAAAAGTCAATTAAAAGTCAGCATCCCTGTGACTGTACCATTGTGATTTCTTTCAGAAGTCTGGTGGTGATTATGATTCTGTTTCTGGTGGTTCTGTTTTTGCTGACATTCTCACCTCACTAACCAGAACCAAATTCTTGGTGTTGCTGCCATGATTCCAGCAAGCATCTTGGATTCTTTCAAATTTGGCAGCAAATGCTGTCCTTCCTCTTGAAAATTAATGTCAGTCTTTTTTCCTTTGCTCATTCTGAGATCTTCTTAATCACACCAGATACTTGTTTCAGCACCTCTTACTGTGGATGGACTCTTCCAGAGTCCTTCTGCTTGCAAGGCACTCTGAACTATGTTGGTAAGTCACTTCCGTACTACATTCCATGTAGCAATGTACATTATCTAGGATGAAACAATGGCTTGTTTGTGTGCTCATTACAATTTTTGAGAAACTAAAGTCTCTCTTAGCTGCTGAGTAGAAGAACTCTTGCCTGCAGTCCTATTTTACTAAGCCAGAATGTCTCAATCATTATATGGTTTACATTGTAAAAATATTCATAGTAACAAGCTGACTATATAACTACCACCTAGAAATATTCAAATAGGACACTAAATATAAAATTAAATTTATACCAACCTGAAAACCGGATCTTTTCGCATTACATTCTTTCCGTATTTTAGCTCCATGCATCTTAGAACAAAAATGAATAGTAAAGCCTGAAAATAAGGCTAAGAGCAAAAAAAAGTTTTAGTTAGATATAAATTTACAAATATAAGTTAAATATTTTGAGGAAAATTGATGATATTTTGTCTTCAGTGTAATATAATCATAATTTCTTATGAGTTAAGGATCAAATCTAGCCATGCAGTTCCAAACAATTAGTTAAATCTATCTCCTTTCTTTCACTTATAATCCATACTTAACCTGTCAGTAAATGTTATCTGCTTCATCTTCAAAATTACAATCTTCAGAAAGACTCAACTACTCCTCATTATGCTATGTTACTTCACTTAAATCCAGATTATTATTGTTTCTCGCCTGGATTACCGTGACACAGTTCCACCTATTGCTCCTCTGTTCCTCTGCTCTACAAATTTATCTTCATCACAGTAACCAGAGCTATTCTTTCAAACAGAGAAGTCTGGTCATGTCACTCTGCTTAAAACCCTGCAGGGTCTCCTCTATCCCTCAAAGTAGCACCACAGTCCTTAAAGTGGCCCCGAACACACAATGCAACTCCCCCCAAACTCATACACTACCCCATCATTCCTGTGATCTGTCCTTCCACACCTTCCTCTTGCTCACTCTGTGAAATCACACTGACTTCCTGAATAAGCCTGGTACATACCAAGGTCATTATTACCACCTCTTCCTGAACAGATTTGCTCTAAACTTTCCTGATCACCATCTAACACAGTCTCTCAAGGGCAAAATTACAGGTGTCTGCATTTTTAAAAAAAGACTCTCTCAAATTCCAGTAGAGGAGGTAAACAGGGTAAACAAAGAAAGATTAATTTTACGTTGAATTCTGGACTCATATATTCTATTTCTACTTATAAAAAATGTCTCTGACGTTTAAAGCATGCCAGATTTCATATTTAAAGCACTGTCAGACTTGGTGCACCTTAACCTAGAAAGATAAAGTCATTATTGCAAATGATTATTGCAAAATATGTAATTAAGAGAGAAACTCCTCTTACTATTAGGCATACTAGAAGTTCAGCTTCGCTCAAGTCAAACTTTGTTTCTTCAGAGTCTGTGTAGCGCGCATAGGCTCTCTGAAAAGACAAAAAAAAAAACCTAAATGAAGATTAATTGGCTTCTTGATGTATAAACAATAATACAGAATTTCCCATAGGAACTATTTTCCTGGTTAAACTTCATTCCTTTGTGTGTGTGAAGTGACAAATCGTATATTAATAAGGGAAGCCTCCCACTCAATTCTCACTATTTCTCAGTGAGCAAGTAACCTGTATTTGTTCCTTTCTTCAACTTTTAAAAAGTATTTTGTCTTAAAACCCAAGACTTTTGATGCAAGCATAACAGAGAGGTGCAGTCATTTGAAAAAAATCTTTTTTGTGTTAAAATATTTGTCCTGTGTTCCACACAAGCCCGTTTACAGGGTGCTTCTTACCCATAGGATGACTACTTCCCATCATAAATAGTTCTATTGTCTTCTTCTTTCTTCATAAATTCTTTCAAAATGTTACTCATTCCTCATAAATTATATGTACCAGTTGAAATTAATTTATTCAAACTGGGCAAGTCTACTTACATTTTAGAAAGAAAATGTTTTAAGCAAAGTGATGTTTATAATGAAGAATGCCAATTGTTGCTTAGTCAGTGGAAAAGTATTTCAGACAGCCTTTCCCAGTGCTCTAAGAAGATATGCAATGAAGCCCTTCTTACTTTCTGTAACATCACTAGAGAGAGTATTCCTTTTTTTGGTCTTTTTGTTTCGTTTTTATTGGTACCAGGAATTGAACTCACGACTGCCTGCTTGCAAGGCAGGTACTTATGCCGCTGAGCTAAACCCCAAGCTCCTGAGAGAGTATTCGTAACAGAGCCATTCTACCTTGGTCTCCTGGAACATTTTTCTCTTCTTAAGTCACATTCTGCTGTTTCAAAGCTTCAGGGTCTCTCCGGCTTCAGTCACTTTGATTTCACTCTGCTGATCATGCTTTTTTCCTGCCTCCCTCTCCCACTAATTCATTCTTACTCATCCTTATATTGAACTGGAGTTTGTGATCTTCCTACCTCAGCTTCCAAGAGTTTTCTGCCATACTCTGTCTCTTTGCTACCTTTAAGATCATAGTGTCAGCTTGCTTTAGGGTGAGCTTTGCCCTCTCTTAATTCTATGAAAGGAAGTATTGTGCTATCTCCAGTTATCTCTAATTACTATTACAGTACCTAACACACAACAGTGTTTGAGGTATGTTTTTGAATAAGTGAATGGCATCGCACGGGAATTTTTCCCTACATTGGATTACAAATACTGACTGAACTAGAAAGCTCTGTCAATCTGCTAATAGGTTTGAACAGCATTTAACAGTAACTATTTTGCAGAATGCATAAGGCAAAGCTTTTTATAGCTTTCCTGAGGTACATTTTTCATTCCATAAAATTTATCCATTTGAAAAGTACAATTTGGGATGATTTTAAAGTTTATTCAGCTGTGTAAGCATCACTGCAATTCAATTTTAGAATATTTTAATCATTGCAAAGAAATCACCAGCATTTACATAGCTTGGATGAAGCACTTCAGTTGGCTACATATTTAATATAAATGACACAATTGTTGATCTTACCTCTAACAAAAACATTAGAAACACATTCATGGTAGATGAAGGAACAAATATCATGGTAGAAATTATTGTAGTTAGGTGGAAATTTTCCCATATCAAGCTGTCTAGCACGCTAGTCAAGATCTAGAAGGCAAGTCCAAATATTTTGTATCAGCTATATTCAGCTCATTGATAAGTAAGAAAACATTTAAGATATAGGTATCTTATCCATATCAAAATTTTCCCATATGCATATATACCTTCATGCCCATCACAAATTCTTTCAGAAAGAAAAAGAGAGGAGTTTTTGTTAACACAAATGTTTATGATCTTTAGATACCCAACAGAAAATTCTTTTAAAAAATTAGCACGAATTAGTTATACACATTAATGTGTTTATTGTGATTTTAACCTCTCTTTTTAATCTCCCTCCATGTTGAGTATTGAACCCAGGGTTTCATATATGCATATAACAAATGCATGCAGCAGCAATAAACAATTCCCTCTTCTTATCATGTAAGTTGGAACTTCTGAAACCTTCTTTTCTTTTTTTTTTTTTTTTTTTTTTTTTTGTCTTTTTCCTTTTTATCGGTACCGGGGATCGAACTCACGACTGCCTGCTTGCAAGGCAGGTGCTTATGCCGCTGAGCTAAATCCCCAGCCCCTGAAACCTTCTTTTCTAAATTTTCATAAAATTATGATAGGTTATTGTGAACTACAACGATCCCACTGTGCTATGGAACACCAGAAATTATTTTTATATCTGTATTTTAGTACCTGTACTCAATCTTTTTTTATATTTTCTCCCTTACTAACCCTCTTTCCTGATATCTCATAATCACTATTACTCAGATCAATTTTCTAGGCTTTTACATAGAAGAGAGAACATGTGATGTCTGTGTCTTTGGGTCTCACTCATTTTACTCACCATAATGTTCTACAGTTCCTTCGAGTTTGCTGTAAATGACAGAATTTTTGTCTTTTTATGGCTGAATAATATTCTTTTGTGCATATACATCCCATTCTCTTTATTCACTTTGACATATAGCAAAACTATGTTTATCTAGATCTTACATTTGTCCCATTCTGGTATATTTTCTGGATAAAGAAAGTCAACTCAAAGAGAGAAAAGCCGTAAATAAAAAGGAACTGTAATTCTATGCTTCCAATTACTTAGGTTTGAAGAATAATTAGGTGAATGTAGACACTGGAGGGAGCATCTCCAGCATGATGCAGGTTGGTTAGTAACATAATTGTCAACTGCCATATTAGCCAACAACCCTGACTTGACTATCAGTGCCAAGAAATTTTCTTCAGAGGTGAAAATACTGAAAACACAAACAATAAACATAAATTCTTTGTTCATCTTTGATAGACTGATCTATCTATGCTATGAAACTCTTATGCAAGTGTCAGCTGAAAAGAAACCATGAGTACCAGTAAGATTGTTCTTAATGGCATCCAATATCCCCAATGATAGTAGACAATGGCAAAAGTCTACTGACTGAACATGTAAATGAAAGACCTTCGATGTACAAAATCCTTAAGACTAGCTTCAAAGCAGCCTTCTGAAACAGGTAATGCTGCAGTTCATTCTGCAGATTTTGTACTTGGGCTTCAGGGTATTGATGATGGTAAAAGAGATAGCAATAGACACCTTTTTTGAATACAAAGAAATGCAACTCAGAGAAGTCAAATCATAATATTGTCCAATTAGAAGGAACATTTACCTGCTGGACAGAAATGTCCAAGGTAATTTTCCTATAGAAGTGATGTGGGTGCAAATATATTTTCTTACAGATGATCTTGAGCTGGGTTTCTCTCATAGTTTCAGTATTAGCATACCAAAAGCTAGGAGATATCTTTTAGGTAAACATTCAGTCATAATTTGAGGATGTCAGTTTAAAGGTAAACTGAAATGCAGAACCTAGGGAACTCTGGGTGTTCAATGTTTTAGTAATTGTTTCTCATAAAGTATTCCTAATCTTGGACAATTTGCTTCCATATATATTTACTAAGTTCTCTGACACAGTGATAAAGCATCTTTGATATAAGAAGCTAGCAGTTTAGGTTAAGACACATTTTAGAGGACTACAGAAAGAGTTTTTACTTTTGACCCTTACAAAAGCCAATTTTCATGCTAGTATTATCTGAAAGCCCTACAAAAAACAAACACAGCTTTGTTTGTTTTTGAGATAAGGTCTTGTTCTCTCATACAGGCTGGCCTTGAAGTCACTATGTAACCAAGGATGACCTTGAACTCCAGTTATCCTTCTGCCTGTCTCCTGAGTGCTGGGACTACAGGTTTGGGACACTATGCCCAGTTCAACAATACATTTTAAATTTCAAGTCTTCTATAGAGTTCACCATGAACTCTGTTCAAAAAGTTGGGCCTGAATTATTTGTGAATTAGATTTTCCTCTTTTTTCTGATCGTGTGATTTTAAAGTAGGGCTTTGAATATCCCTTTATCAAAAATATTTGTGGCTGGAAATGTTCTAGATTTGTATTTTAGAGTATTTTTATATATTTAAGGAGATACTTCAGGAAGTGATACAAATCTCAACAGAAAATGCATTTATGTTTTATAAATACTTTGTCTAAGTAACTTGAGAATGCTAAATAAATTCTGTTGCATACTCTGTATTTTGACTGCAACTCATCACATAAGGTTAGGTATGGAGTTTTTATATTTGTAGTATCATGTCAGCTTGCAAAAATTTTTGGATTTGGAGCACTTCAGGTTTTCTGATGCACCCTCTATTATCAATTTTTCTTATTCCTCAGAGTAAATGTGATCATATTTAACATTACACTGAAGGTTTAAAAATAGCTATTATACATGTGTTTGTGTGTGTGTATATATATACTTACAAAGAAGCAAAATGTCCACAGACCACTATATTTTCTCCTCTTTCGAAAAACAAATGATATTACATATGTCAAGAAGATAAGGGAAACTGCATAACCAAATGTAGTAGTAACCTGAAGGTAATACAAATAGTATCATAGTCAAAAAATGAAATATTGTCTGAGAGAAATAGTCTTAAATTTTATTGTACATGCTTTTGCATGGACTGTTTGCAAATGAAATCATATTTATGAAATAAAATAGCAATTATTACTAATTACTTTATAAAATTTGGTTTATGTCATGTGTTACTTACCATACCAAATATAGTTCTCCTTGAAATATAATTGTCTGTAATTCTTATTAGGTAACCAATTAAATGCACCAAAAGGAGAATTAAATTGAAGAGGTTAATGTCCACCAGTGCTTGTCCAAACCAATAAGCAGAAGGGTAGAGGCCCGAAATCCATAGCTGACGCTTAGCCTTCTTCTGATGAGAAAACACAGCAATTAAAATGCAAATTAAAAATGAACACAATAGAATTTTCAAGATAAATATAATCAAATATTCTAATATTATATATATATTAATATTTTAAGGAAACGACTCTACAGATCCAGCTCCAATTTTAAAAATGTGAATTGTTTTATTTGGTAGATTTTATTCACAATACCACTTTACTCATGAATAATGAATAGGAGAATGGACATAATAATGATCAATGCATAAAATTCCTTCAAAATAAATGTTGTTTTGTGACCTGAAGGACATGTAAATTTTTCTTTTGTCTATACATCTTCACAGAGAGTTACTGGCTCAGGATGGTGCAAGCAGATTTACCTATATCTAGTTTATCTGGGTAATGAACATGAACGCAAAATATACATATACAATATAATATTGCAATTTTAAAGTGCAGAGCTGATCTCAGGCTTAGGTTTGGTCTTCAACTTCAAGCTCAGTGATTTCTTCCTTGTAGTTAGGAAGCAATGTAATAGAAAACCTATATATTTTCCTTTGAGCTCTGAGGAATCATTTGACTATTTCTGTAACTTTGAAGTGAAAAGTGTTTTTGCACTTCCAAAAGTAAATTTTCTGATGTTAGTAGGAAAACAGATATACTTTGAGGACTTAAAGTGAAATAAATCAGATGCACAAAATTAAATTTCACATGGTTTCTTTTATATGAGAAGTGCTAACTATAAGGAGCAAAATAAAAGAAAGATGATGGAAAGTAGAAAGATTTTCCTCAAAATTGGAAGAGGGAGCAAAAGATGGAAGAACTAGAATGGAAGAGAGAAAAAGGGGATGAAAAAAGGAATTGAAATTTGTGTATAAGTATCAACTTCACTTAAGGAATGTATAACTTAGGTACTACAAACATGCACTGATAAAAACATAAAATTTAGATAAAAGACATGTATGTACACGAATAAAAATAATGCTTAACTGTGTTATTTAAATTAAAAATATAGTTAAGTGATTTTTACAGAGGTCAAAGTTTTTAACACATAGCATTAAAATCACAATTATAGAAATTCCCAAAGTTTCCTGTCCCCCTTTTTCCTTACTTTGTAATCACTGACACTGCTCATGGCAATGTAAGGAGAAATGCTGCATACAACAAACAGTAAGAACAGAGAGCCATCTACCAGTCCAGTCCAGACAACCATCATATCCTGCAAATATAAAATACATCATAAACTAGTGAATATTTTAAATGAAATACTAAATAGTGTAAGGAATGAACTTTTGGAATATCAAAAACCCCAAGTATACATATAACGCAACATCTGTAACAGAAAATGGTTCCTTATTTGACGTAAGGCTTCAACTCAAAAAAGGAAATATCAAAAATAATTCAGAACCTACTTCATCTCAAAGAACAAGGAAATGTCAAAAGTAATTCAGAACCTACTTCAACTCAAAGAACAAGGAAGTACCAAAAATAATTCAGATCTGAAAGCATAAGTTGTTTTTGGTTCCGTTTGGTTCAGTTTAGTTCAAGGCAAAGTCTCACTGTGTAGCTCAAGCTGGTCTTGAACTCTCTATATAGCCTAAGCTGGCCTCAAATTTGCAGTGATCTTCCTGCTTCAGTCTCCCCAGTGCTGGAATCATAGATGTGTTCTGCCATGCCCAACTTGACAGCATAGTTTTGAAGAGTAATCTGCACATCCATGTTCATAGCATCATCATTCACAATAGCTAAGAGGTAGAAACAACCCAATGTTCATCAGTGGATATATGAATACATAAGCTATGGTATATATACATAAAATAAGGTGACATTTCATTTTTAAAAGGAAAAAATGTTCTGTCACAGGCTTCTGTCACATAGATGAATCTGGAGGATATTATGCTAAGGGAAATGAATCAGTCAAAAAAGACAACTAGTATGTGATTCCACTTACATATCCAAAGAGGTCAAATTTCTTGAAGCTGAAAGTGGGTTTGTGGTTACCAGAAAGAGAGGGAAGGGGAAATAGGGTTGTTCAGTAAGTATAGTTTTACTTCTGAAAGACGAACACATTTTGGAGATCTATCTCAGAACAACATAAATATGCTTAATACTAATGAATTCCATGCTTAAAAATGGTTATGATGGTGAATTTTGTTGTTTTTACCAAAATAAAAAATTAATCATTCAGAAATTAGGTCTTTTGATTGAGAGATAATTCAGGCCCATACACACGTCTTTGTTTGCAAGATAGAGATGAATGTGTGGATGGTTAGTTGTACTCTGCAGTACAGAGCTAAAAAGGAAACTTGTTTCCTCTGAGCCCAATTTCAAGGAAATAAAATTCAAATGACTGTCTAATTAGTGTCTGCCTCAGGCTGGATTCAAGCCCAAGCAGTGTATAGAACTAGCTCGAGGATATAATTATGGGCACACAATACAAAACTGTCTTGAAATAACTGTAAACGCTCATATTTTATTGAAGAGTTTTGGGATCTATGTAACTTTTCCTCTGGGTGGTAAAAAGAATTACTGCCATCATGAGAATGAAGGTATATGTCACTGTGACGGGTAGTGCCTAAAGGAGCAACCCTGGAACCTTGGTCCATTTTGATTTGGAAAAATATACAATTACATGGGGTAAGTAAATCCAAGAAGAAACAAAAACTCTCTTTCTGCTACCTGCTGGTTCTAATTGCTGGAGAGCTTCCTTCAGACAAGACCATTTGAACCATCTTGTGCTCTCTCTGATCACAAGGTCAGTCACACTTCAACTCAGGGGTGTGTATATCCATCACTGACCTTTCGAATACATGTCACCATTTTCTCCAATACATGAAAAAATCTGCATTTGTACGTATGCCCAACACAACAAAGCCGAAACCGAATTTGACACATATGTCACACAAAGGGATTTCCTTTTTACTCCATTTCTAATCTCCCTTTTTGTTCTGAGTTCTGGTGTGCAACTTTTGCTATTGATTTTGAGATATCTCTCTTGGTATCAATAAGAAAATAAGATCACTTAATAAATTTAAAATTAGAATAATGAAATGGATCCATGGGTGAGGATCAGGCAACAGTAATGACGAACATGGAAGGCACTATCATACATCTGAGCTGGAGAGACAAAGGAAGGTGATTATATGTTTGGATCCCAATGTGTAGGGATCCAAATGTGTTGCTCTCCTGTCTTCCAAAACTGTTTTCTATTGTCTAAAGTGTGAAAAGTCAGATTGTAGCCAGAATTTCCCAAAATGCAACCTATACCACATACCCTCCCATACGGTTTTGCTGTAAGTAGGTAAAGGGATGAACTGGATAGTAAATAGCAATTTTCAGTCTCCTATCCATGAAGGCAGGGTGCACACACACACACACACACACACGTGTACACACACACACACACACTTCCACAATCAGGTATGTATCTACAGTCTCAAAATATACCTTAGAAGAATACGACCCAACATTGAAGAGTACTAACCCATAAGGATTTTCTTCTTACAACTTTGCAAGAAAAAATTTCATCACCTGTTTAAAATGTCAAGACAGAGTAATAATTTTGAGGATTAACAATCCATTAGGATGTCCAAAAGGGCAAATGTAAGTTACTTGTGAAATTTATAATTGTTCAGAATCAGTAAGTTTAATACTTGCCAAAGAAAGTGGACTTCGCTCAAGTCGAAGATACTGTGTTTGATTAAACATTCTAAGTAGCCCATTACTGATAATATTCATAAGGACAGGAAAGCAGTGCATCCTCTTGGTATTGCACACAACTGAAAATCTATAATCCTGAAAGCAAACAAAAACATATTTAAATAAGTGGGGTGACTTCTGAATCGTTGAAACACAGAAGTAAGGTTTTTATGCATAAAATTCTAACAGTACTACATTCTGACTGAGTGTCCATCTTCAAGCTCACTACATTTTCTGAGCTTCAGTTGAATCTTCAACTGAAGAAGCTACTAAACGAGTTGTTGTATGATGTTTAAGAGATTATGCGTATTAGGCCCTAGTAAAGTTGATATTTCAGAGTCAGCCTCCATTTACAACAGATTAGAATTTATATTACTAATTTTGCAGTATTTTGTCCCTATGGGGAACAACAGAGGAATGTTGATATTCTGGATAGAGGATAAATATGGAGTTTATAATATATGCATGGCTAGCCTGCCAGTGACGCATCTTCCTAAAATAATGCATCCATACTTCCTGTTCCTGAAAATGTCCATACTTTCATCAGGAAGTTTGATATTATTTTATATCACCAGCAGTTCATGTAGTAAATATGGTAGGAGACAGCTACCAAAGTAATTTTCCATAATAGATACAAAGTTATTACATAACATGTTTAGCTTAGGCAGAATTGAATTCCACGCTGCATCTTCAAATGCTGCTAGTTTTTTTTCAATTTCCCCTGTAGCAAAAAGTGAAGAGGTAGACTTGTGTAACTGCTCTTCGTTTTGAATAGGATCCAAATAAAATCAATTTAAGACTAGGATGTGTTTTGAAGAGTCTTTGTCCTTGATTTGGATATTCTTAACCAAACTGAAATAAGACAACAATTGGAGAATATTTTTGCTCATAAATTTCATGTATCATAATATTTAATGTATTTTTCAGTATATAAAAATATCATTCAGGCATTTATCAATTTAATACAACTCCTTAAATTCATAAGTACATTCATGAGCTGTAATATTTTATTGAAATCAAGCACAATTGAATTTGTTCCTTTTAAATTTAAAAAAATTATCTAATTCAGAAAAAAGATAGAAAATGTTTAACAAAAACTTACATTAAGATTCAGTCTCTTCAATATGATCTCTAAATGTTTCTCTGAGTTAAATTGCTCTGTTCTAGCTAGGTTGACTTTCTGCCATTTTAAAACCAATTAAAGTGTAGCAATATCTTATTATGTTCCCTATGTGTGGAGGGAGGAGGTCATAAAATCAAAACCCAAGTGACAAAACACACCTTTTGTTTACCAGAAACTATGATAGCTCCATTGTATGAAAGAGCATTAGTGCCATTTCTGTTTTTGAAATCATCTACTTCCAGAAGTATATTTTGATGCTTCAGTGACTGTATAAAGTCTTCAATATCTGATTCTAGCATAAAGTCAAAAGCAGAACATATAAAAACAAGAAAATATGTATAACATTTTTATAATGTGCCATATGAATTTTTAAATTGATATTTATACATTAATGTTTCTATGGGATTGCAATAATAATAGGCCCATCAATGAAAAGTTGCTTACTCTGCCATCTTCTATTCTGCAAATTTTACAGTATGATGTATTACATTTATAATTCTGCTTAATTATATTCATGCAAGCTGACATGTAATTGTTATTTTATAGCTTTTATTTAAGAAACACATTCAAACTGATATTTTACATAAATACAGTAATTATAGGAAGGATACTTCTGATGATAGCACACTCCTTTCTCCTTTATTCTTTGAGATAATTGAAAATTAAAGAGATATGTATAATACGCCAATATATTTTACATACCTGCTTATATATTTCATATTTATATATTGTATAAATACACTTTTCTTAGGAAATGAAAATGATGGGGCCGTCAAACTAAAATGTTTCTATATCTCTAAAGAACAAAGCAGATGTAATTGAGAGAGATATAAGGGCTGAGAAAAACTCAGAGCCTAGAGAACACAGGAACAAACAATTACAAAGATAAAAACTAGTTTCCAGGGTACCAAAACTCAGAGAGAATTACCAGAAGGGAACAAAGCAGGGCTCTGAAGCCAAGGTCAGTCTTCAACCAGTCATCCACACCTGCATCAAGCTGAGCAGTCAAGTCTTCTCTGTGCCTCACTCAGAGGAGATCACAGCTACACTGGTCCTCAGAATAAGAGTCTTATCATTTTCTAAGAGGTGCTATCTGAACAAATCAGCACACCAAGACCTAAAGTAACTCCAGATAATGATCAGGGGAAAATGGAGTGGAAAAAAAGTAAAGAAAACTCTTCCACAGATAGTTAGCTTTTGAAATGAGAGCTCGTTCTGGGAATGCACAAGGTAGGCTCTGGAATTGGACAAATAGGACTCAACTCAAAAAATATTAGGATCCTCCCAAGTGAGATGGAAACACACATAAAGAATAAGTTTTTCAGGGCTGGAGGTTTAGCTCAGCGGCATAAGCGCCTGCCTTGCAAGCAGGCAGTCGTGAGTTCAATCCCCGGTACTGATAAAAAGGAAAAAGACAAAAAAAAAAAAAAAGAATAAGATTTTCGTGCACCCTAGGTCAATTATACATGTCATTCCATCTCCACTACAGAGTAAAATAATGGTGATTTACATTCGCCAAAAGAGGAATTCTCATATGAAATGGTAAACATTTTACCAATAATCAACAGATTTTGAGAAAAGAATATATGACACAGAATCCCCAAACTTCAATCTCAAAATACCGAACAAATTAGTGTGGAAAAAAATGTTAGTGAATACTAGTACATTGTTCTCAATGTAACTAGAAAGTTAAAAAAAATAACATGAGACAAAACTGAAAAGTAAAGAAGCAATCTAAATCTTGGAAATTCAAGTGCCATTAACAAGACTTTCAGCTTTAAGACAGCAGAGAAATCTACTTTCCAAAAGCCCAAATGAAAAGCAATAAATATGCACGGTTCCTCAAAAACTATTTTCTACAAATGCACATTTTCTTCTTTTGCATTTTATTTTTCTACAGCCCGTGCTGTTTAACATTAAAAACAGCATTGCTGATTTCTGTTCACCTGTGTGATTGATGATCAGCAGGCTGGTACGGAAGTCTTGAGGAAGTTGTCCAGGAGAGAGGAAATACGAGTCTGTTTTAAATTCCCAGTCAACAGTCTGCTGCATCATATAATAAGTTATTCTTTCAATAATCAAAGGGCATAATGACATTCCAAATATCAATAGCCTACAAAATAAAGAATTAATGTGTGAACTGATTGCAATTTTATTTACTGAGTCAGACCCTATTTTTTTGGTATCAAATCTACCTTATACCAGTCTATACTTCTAGTTACTAAAATTCTAAAAATCATATCTTGGCTTGCCACATGTGATTAAAAAGAATTGCTACATAAACATCAGATATCAAACTGAACAAAATAAACATGCCTGTGTGCATAAGCCTATCCAAGGCTAACGTGCAGGTGTTTCTGCTGCCAGTGAAATAAAATGTTTCATTTATCTGTCCTCTGGTAAAAATGCTGAGTGTCATACTCTTGTTTTACATTCTTTTCTGGTTTAAACATCTCTTGACCCTCACCATCTAACAAAATCACAATACTCACAGGATCAAAAGTGTTTTTCTTTCACGTATTAACTTTAAGAAACGAAGCCGTGCTATTGCACAGACTTGCATCCTCCAGCGTTCCATGTCACTCACAGGCTTCTGTACTTCAGGGAGAGAAGGATAAGCTGGCTGCATTTCATTGAAGCTTTCTGAGTTGCTCATCATTTCTAGATGGCCAAAACCTGTGACAAACACACATAGTACCAATGGCATCCTGGAGCACCACAATTTTTTTAAGTAGTAAAAGTTATTTTATATTTGACTAATAACAAGATTCAAAGCACTTATTTAAAGAGCAGAGTTCATCATTGTCTTCAATATTTTCTTTCTATAGTTATAATTGGAAAGGTGATACCTATTAAAACTTTTAAAATAAAGAATGTTCATATTACAACCATAAAAATATACAAAAAATATAAGAAACACAATGTTCAAATTCTATAAACTCAGTGAGAAAGTATACTAAGTTCATACCAAAGAAGAATTCAGCAATGTTTAGAAAGGAAAAGTCTCAAATACAATAACATTCTAAGGGGTTTCAAAAAATATTCTCGCTAGGAATAATGTTCATATACCTACTACTAAGGCAGGAATAACCTAGTATTTCAGGTAAAAGATCATGATTTCTGAAACAAATAGACCTGTAAATGACTTTCACATACATGAATTGTAAGTGGTACAATTTGGATCACATAACTACTCTTAGGTCCAATTTTATCAACAGTAAATAGAGGCCAATGATTTTTTTTGAGAAGATTATTTACTGGAGGGAAGCACCACAATAGGTGAGTATCAATGCATAGAAATACTCTAATCAAAATATGTGGCATTAATCCAAAAAAGTAACAGCTTTTTTTTTTACTGTTGTCCATCAAAATACTAAGGAGGTGAGACTGAGAATCTTCTCCATTTATACCTTAATGGATTTTTTTGTCTTGAAAGCTAAGAAAAAATTTTATAAGAAACTCATACTCCTTTGGAGTCTCAGGGAGTCTAAGAAGCATTAAGCATCTGAAGATAGGTAAAATCTCCTAAAACAGGGAGAAGACAGTTTGCAAAGAGGAATTTGGTCCACTCCCAAGAAGGAACTGGGGTTAGGCCTCCTGATAAAGGTGAGGGACAGTAATACACCTCGAATTCTGAATTCAAATTTGGAATGAGTCACATTCCTTAGTGTGAGCCCTATCTAAGAAATTATAAATAATGAATTGACACATGATCAGTTGGAGACTGATTTTTGTGAATTATACAAATCGTTTTACCTTGGTTGATAGTTGATTTCCCTTCAATATTCATGAAGACTTCACTCAGAGTTGACATAGAGATATCATAACTCATCATGCCTTGGCTAGAACACTTATCAAGATCCCTGAAGAGATCTAAGACAATAGATAGAAATATGCACATTTGAAGAACAACAATTACTAAACCCAGTAAATCAACATTTACACAAAAGATGAATCATTACATTGAAAATTTTGTCTTTGCAATATCACAGTAATCAAAAGCAAAACTTCATTAGAATGTTCTCAATGTCTGAAGTGACTACATCAAATTCATTATTTAAATGAGCTCACTGCACATTCTATTTTTAGATTATAAATTTCCTACAGTCATTGAGGAACTTTTCATCTCACCTCCACACTACAAATCCATGTGTATCTCTGCCCCCATGCTGGGTCTTCTGTGTGGGTGCAAGACATCCAGCTGCTCCTATCCAAGATAACACCTTTGACCTCAGTTCTACCATTTATCCATCATCTATCAGCCTATCGAGGACTTCCTCTCCCTCCTACATCATCAGTTTCTTCCAATCCATTGAATCATCTCAAAAAGTAGGCAAAATGTAATAATATTTATTTAACAAATATAAGTAGCAACAAGAAAATACAACCATTCTATCAGTCTCTCTTCACATGCATATTTGGCTCTGAAGTTTTGTCTCTCCTTAATTTGTCACATTCTATGGACACTTAACTCCTGGAAGTCCAAATGCTATCCATATCCTTTCATGAGAAATATTCTAGGCCACCAATAACTTCATATTTTCAGATCCAATGAACAATTCTTTACTTTTCTTTTATTATTTTAACTCAGTCTTTTCCTTCTTTGTCTTTAACTCAGTGGCCTTCAAAGCAGTTCCCTAGGGCTCACCTCCTGCAGGCATTTTCTTTCTTTAGTACAAACACATTTTTCACATGTTCCTCCAACTGTACCCAGCTGTATCAGTTTCTACCTCCTTCCTAGCTTTTCTGTTTTTTCCAAAAATTTTAATCCTAGACCATCTTATCTTCCTACACACATAAATCCAGTCTAAAATCCATATAAACTCTGAAGATTTCCAAATTCAAATATCACTTTGTGTATAAATATTTAACCAACTGTATACTTAATAACTAGTATATCAAAAGAAATCTCTAGATTAACGTTTTCAAAACAAAATATTGATTCTTCCTTCTCCTTTTGGTCCAAATGTTCCCCTTCTTACTTACAATAAATGTTACCATTTTCTACTCAGTCACCAGACCCAAAAATGAGGAAGTCTGTTTTTATGTTTTCTATCTTTCCTCTTACATCATGATTCAGAGTTTCAGCATTATTTTTGAATATGTTTCAAAGACACCCCTTCCATCCATGTCCACTGGCATCATGGTGGCCCGGGCACCACCTGTACTTTTCCTGGGCCTCTGAAAGGACTCCATGGCTCATCCACAAGTGTCTGCTGTTGTTCACTTAGGTCCAGAGTTATCTTTATCCGGAGAGTGAAAATACAGACCACATCATGCCAATGCCCCATTTAATGTCTTTCAGTGATTTCTCACTGCACTTAGACAAAGCCAACACCAGAACCTCTACGTCTCAGTAAGAGACGTCTCATACATTCTCTGTGTACCCCACAAAATTTACTCATCTCTGCTCTCCACTATGCCCCCTCATTCACTACCCTCCAGACATGCCACCTTTCTCCGCTTAGGTAGATTTGACCATTTTCTTCTGTGACATTCTATAAGGACTCTTCATAAACCTAAACCTAAGCTGGACATCGATCATCACTACAATTCATGGACCTTTGTTAACTATTTTACATAGAAAATTTTTATTTCATTTGATTTACTCCTTCCCACTTAGTTGAGTGTAGATTCCATGAGGATAGGTACTCATATATCATATGTAATGCTGTATTTCCTGTACCTCAAGCAGTCTTCATAATATAATGGATTTTTAGTAAACACTTATTAGTTATCTGTTTCCTGGGCTTATGGAGCCACGGGTATGAGTTTCTTGGGGAAGATTCCCACACGCCACTTTCTCTGTGGGTAAGGGGAATGCACAGAATTGCTACTGAGAGGAGCTCGATTCAATGGGGAAGACTACAGCAAGAAACATATTCTTGAAAGACCTGCACATTTCACTGAGATCTGGAATCCTACGCCCTGTAATGGGCACAGATACAAGCATGCCATTAGACTAAAGGAGCCCTAGAGTCTGTATAAAGATACTCCTGTATGATAGCATATCAACATCAGAGACTCTGACCAAGTAGAATTTCTAGTTGGTGGCACCAGCAAACAGAATACGTTAATATCTTTCCCTAACAACAGTAACAACATCAACAACAAAAAGGAGAAAGGTCAGGTCAGTCATACCTCATGAGCACTTACAGAGTAAAATAGTATAGAATACTATCTTCATGGTGATATGAGTATAGAGAAAGACACAGACCTTTTTGCAGAATACAGTTAAAATCTTAGTTCTTAAATTTTTGCCCAAAGAGATTAAATTATCTTATTAAAAAAGCTTATTCAAACTAGGCCTACAAAGCATTAAACCTTTAATAAACTAAACTACGAGAAGCTGTTTAAAACAAAAGAGATTAAAATATACTTACTTGTAAGATAGAGAAAATTACAACACCCACCTCATAAGACAGTTATGACTACTAAATCAGTAGATATACATGAAACCACAAGGACAGTACTAGGCACATAGACAACGACTTAGCAAATTTTTAGAAATACTCATCAAAACAAAGCCTTTTGGAACTATTACCCCAACAAGCTGGAAACCAATATTGAAAACTTTTATAAAATAAATAGGCTATGTTTTTCCCTGAAAATAAGTTTATGCCCAAATAATTATAATAAAATAAAAAAGAAATCTGTAGCAGAGGCATTGGTGCTCATTCCCACTGCTTACGCACTCATCTACACATGGGAACTCTGCTGATCCTCTTTCTAACTTTATGTGATATGTATGGTTGGGGTGGGGGAGGTATGTGCTGATGGTAGAGCCCAAGGCCTTGCATGCAACACTGAGCTACAACTCAGTCCTTTATTTTTAATGTCGAGGCAGAGTCTCTCTAAGTCACTAAACTAGCTGGTGGCACGCCAGCTTGTAATCTTTTTGCCTCAGCCTCCCAAAATGCTGAAATTACAGGTTTACAAGTTCCTTAAATTCATATTCAGAACAAAACAGAAGACCCAAAAATTAATGTGTCTGAGTATATTCATCGACTAGTGATGGGTAGAGAGCAGTAAGTAACTCCTTCCTGCATGATAGAACTCTGAACACAATTATTTATTCTTTTATTTCCCCTAGTGCCATACTTAAATCTCCTACCACAATAACCTGCTAAATAATGAAAATTTTTCCCAGCTTCTTTTCCTCCCATCCCTTCTCTCCGTTGACTCTAGCACCACGAAGGATCAGTTACCAAATAAGTTCAATACATTCAAGTCCTTCTCTCAAATTATGCTTTTCAGAAAAATTAAACTAAGACAAAATCCAAATCAATTAAATAAAGAAAATCTAAGTCAATGTGAACATTTAATCTCAAGTTTCATTTCTTTGTACTCATATTCAAGTTACCTGGAAATTTATTTGTCCTTTCCAAAGGCAAAGTATACACAAGCTTTTCTTTGTTTTCTGTTTTTAATTTAGCGTCAGGGATGTGATGATTAATGAAAGATGTTATTTGTTCTTGATCACATATTTCATTCTTATAGACACTAATATTTAAAACAAAAGAAAAATCATTTGCATTTTTCCCCATTATATTTCTTTTTCTTTTTTCTTTTTTTTTTTTTTTTTTTTCGTCTTTTTCGTTTTTATCGGTACCAGGGATCGAACTCATGACTGCCTGCTTGCAAGGCAGGCACTTATGCCGCTGAGCTAAATCCCCAGCCCCCCTCATTGTATTTCTTATAACAGTTAGTACTACTTTGCTGGCTTAGAGAAATAAGTAAAATAAATATTATGGCTAAGCACAGAAATGTTCCCCAAAAGATAGTGTGTTAAAGGTTTGGTTAGTGTGGTAGCAGTGCTCATAGGTGGAGTCTTTGGAAGATGACTGGATCGTATCTTTACCTTCATCAGTGGGGTTTATCCATTGATGGAATCTGAATGGGGTATTGAGAGCTGGAGGAAATGTTAAGAGGCAGGCTCTAGTTAGAGAAGCAGAAGACTGGGAGTGTGTCACTGAAGCATACTTTTTGTCACTTGCTTCCTGGCCACCAGGAAGTGAGAAGTTTTGCTCCACAGCATACTCCTCACTGGGGAGTTTTGTTTCACCACAGGCCTGCAAACAGTGAGTCAGGCAACCATGGACTGAACCCTCTGAAAGGAGAGGCTACAATAAATCCTTTCTCCTGTAAGCTGATTTTTCTCAGGTGTTTGTCAAAGTGGTAAAAAGCTAACACAATGAGTAACTGAAACTAATACAATTTGAAAATTTTATATATACACAGAGGGATACAGTAAGAAAAACTGAAAACATACAAAAACTGATTGTGCTTAAAGCTACATACCAAATATAAATGAAGACAGAATAGACTTTTGAGGAAAATAATTACTACAGCTATCAGAAAGTGTTAGCTAAAATAGAAATTTGCCCCACACTCATGCTTTGTGCAGCAATCGGGTTTTGGTTTGGTTTGGTTTTTTCAAAATCATGTTTAGCCTGGACATATATTTCCTTGTTCAACACCATTCTCACCTCTCTCTGAAAACATTTTATTCTCTGTTGATACTGATTTGTGAAAATATTTGCCTTTGAACTCTGTGAAAGTATACTATGGGGTTGAATAGATCAACTGAGACCAATGGGAAATGAGAAAAAGGTAGAGGGTTAAGCTGCACAGAAAAGTGACCTGGGAAGATGGTACATGATGTAGGCCTGCTGAGAAGAGATAAGCTTGGTTTATAATGCTGTGATTTCACCCCTCCTTAACATCAACAAAGATACAAAGAAGCAGGAATGTAGGAAGTGTGTTTGGGAAACAATTATAAATCCAGTATAACAGAGATGAAACATGCGAGCAGTTCTCTTTCTTAATGGTCCATCTTTTTTGATACACCAGTATTCACAGCATACGTTTGCTGTCTTTCCCTCAAAGTCTTTACCTTAAATAATAGCCAAGATCCCATTTTCTCTTCAAAAATACGGAAGAGCCTGCACACTTCAATCTGCCGTTGAACATGATCACTTTTCTGTCTGAGTAAAAAGAAGGAAATGGGAAAGAATGTTAGGAGTCATTTCTTCTCTTTCTAGAAAATACTTATGAGAAATTCAAGTTCAGAATTCCTAAAAAATACTGTATCCATTGTAACTGAGTGCACTACACACTTTAAAATTTAAAACACATATTAAACCTGTAGCATTTTGATCTCATCAGCACCGATCTATTTCAGCACCTTCCAAAACTTTCTGCAGGAAATAAGAAAACAACCTACCTCAGGTTACATGGGTGCATTTTGTACTACAGATACTAAAGAATGGTTAGCTAGTTTTCAGCTATCTATGGATTCATGAAAATTTGGATGTTTAAATACACTGATGGCTTATCTGAAAAAAATCACTCTTTTTCACTAATGATCACAACCCACCAAAAATACAACCACGGAATAACTCCATAAGCTAATTAGACTCGTTATTCCCTAGACTGCCATGGACCTAAGGCACACAGACAATGACAGCAGGGCTCTTACCCTAGGAGTGGCCGTTTGCAGCTACACTTCCCCAAATTTTCACTGTGACACTGAGCTAAAACCAACAATTACCAGCCAGAATGTCAGCTTCATCCACCAACTGAGTACTGAAGAGGATCACATGATTTTCTCTACGTTCTTTTAAGAAACTCCACACTCGGTATCTTGAAAAGGGATCCAGTCCAGCAGTTGGTTCATCTAAGAGCAAAACCTACAAAGGATAAAGATATGAAAAATATATGTCTTTTCCACATTAAGCATTTCCATATGATTGCATGGAAAATAATACAAATTAATCATTATTTAGTTATAGGCAATGTGATTGTTTATAGTTAAACATAGTGGGTTCTCTCTTGATACATGACAATAAAAGTTCTACCACTTTTATTTATTTATTTAGTTAGTTAGTTATTTGGTTCCAGGGATCAAACTCACGACCTCATGCTTATAAGGCAGGCTCTTACACCGGTGAGCTAGATCCTCAGCCCTGTTCTACCACTTTTAATAGCAAAAGACCAACATTCAATTTGTTTTCCTCTGTATGCATAATCTTACTTACTTGAGGATCTCCTAAAATGGTGATTCCAAAGGTCAACTTTCTTTTCTGTCCTTCACTTAAGTCTTCAGCAAGATTATTCTGAATATTTTCCATGTCCAGTTCCAATAAAACTTGTCGTACCTGTATGAGAAAATGAGCTTCTTAAAACACAATGGTCCATATTAAGCGATTAACTGCCCACTGAAGCAGTATGCACTTTTTATAGGACTTCCTTGTCCAAATTTTATTCACAGACCAGGTAAGTCACTGAACTCAATTCTGTCATGATTTAACTTAGAAAATGATTGACAGTTCAGTTAATGCAGGCAAACTCATTTACCTTTTGTTCCACTTCATGTGGATGAATCCCTTTTATTTTAGCGAAGAGACTGAGGTTTTCCTTCACTGTGAGTATATCAAATTGCACATTATATTGAGGACAAACACCAATCATCTTCCTGATTTCCTCCAAGTCTTGCATTTCAGAGATGTTTTTATCATAGACAGTAACTGATCCTACGAATAGAAGTTAAATATAATTTGTTGTTGGCAAAATAATGCATTTTTTAAATATGTAAAATGATGATTTCATAACTTTTCACTACTAGTTATGATTAACATAAATATATCTTTATAGTATTGTATATTTCTTTTGTAATGTCACTTAATGGAATAAAGATGATTTTCATGAAAACTGGGGGAAAATGAAATACAGTAAAACCTCAGTTCACAAACACATCATTCATGAACAATTCCGTCTGCAAACAGGAGCATTCAGCAAAATTTTTCTTCTGTCCATGAACTCCACATCAGGTGATAAACACACCGACAATCATCTTCCCTGCACGAACACTAACATGGCCATTTCCCCAGAATCAAGAAATTAATAAAGTTCATGAATGGAGGCACCACTGTCTATTTAAAATACTACAGTTCTGAGAAACAATTAAAAAAACATTTCTTTTAAACAGTACAATTTAAAATGAGATTAGCATACCTATGGAAAAGTTCTATCATCAGATATCCTGCTTTTTAGAAATTTCTTTTGGCTTACCTTGTGTTGGAACAGATAATCCACTAAGGATGTTTAATAAAGAAGATTTTCCAGCTCCACTATGACCCAAAATTGCTGTGATTTGACTTTCATATATGTCAAAATTAAAGCCTGTTTTTAGTATAACACAAATAGGAATACATTAGATATGGCTGATTCTAAATATAGAAGACATTAATCAATTCAATATTTTACAAAATATTCAAAATTCTCCTAATTGACAAAATGACACTTGAACTATAATAACTTATTCAATGTGTTATTTATTCCTTGAAGATGGTGATACACACACACACAAAACACACACACACACACACACATATCTAGCAAACTAATGCATTATTGGTGCAGAATACAGGAACCAGTGGGACAGAAGTCTGAAATGGATAAAAGTTTAAAATCAGTATCAAAATAAAGATTAGTAAAAATAGCCTTTCATATGCATCAGGATGGTGAATTATTCAATAAGCAACATGGTACAAATCAAGCAAATACATCAACAACATTTATGTTTTTAAATTTAAGATAGAAAATGTACAGTTTTCAGAGGAAACAGACATTGGCCTTAAACTAACCCATGTTATTGCAAAAAGAAAATGAAATCTATGCCTCAGTTACATCTGTAGAGTAAGTGGCGCATTACTATGATTTGCATAAAATCAAATGAAAAGAGTCCATGTAAATCACATAGCAGAGTTCCTAGTATACGCTAAAATAAACCTCACTGAAGTAAAATGACCTCAGTAGTGGTCCTTCTTCTTCATCTTCTTTTCCTTCTCTTTCTTATTCTTTTTCTTCTCCTCTTCCTCTTTCTTTTTTTTTTAGCTTTTAAGCTTTCTGCTATTGTAAAAATTATTTCTATACCTCTAAACTAATGCTTAAAAAGAAAGAGACCCCTATCAAATGTAACTGCTAACTTTGAAGCTTAATTCAAGATATTATAGCAATCTGTATTTCTTAGAATATTTATCAACAAAAAATGTTTGTTTATTTGGCTATAAACTTTTTGTTACAGGATACTAACTTGTGAATTTAATTCACTGTACAGTTTTACTCATCTTATTTTAGTTAACCCCTGTGCTGCTGTATATAAATTATGCAAATTCCCTAAATAGCTAAATTTAACAGGCTTCTAATCTAGATGTTTTTTCTTCATAGTCAAAAAATAAAATATAAGACACTGGTCATGGCAGAGTCATTTTTAAAAAACATTTTTCATTGTACGATTTCATTTCCAAAAATTAGTAGATCCACAATTTCTATAAGGATTTTACAACAAATTCTTAATCATGGTTAATGCTGAGGTGGTGCAGTGAGGTTCTTTGCAATCTTTTTTTTTTTTTCTTTTTGAGCTGGTGAAGTTTCAAAACTTGCACAATGAATGTTTCCCAATTTTTGCAATAAAGTCAATGAAAGAATTAAAAATTTTTATTTACCTTTTAATGCTTCTACTTTTTCAGACTTTTCTTTATAGTCCTTTTTAACATTCCTGATTCTGTAATAATATAGGGGTGTTTACTTAGTAAATAGAGATAAAAATAGCATAGATCATGAATACGCCTAGTTAGAGCGATAGATAACAAGTCAATCACTTCAGAAACGATGATATAATCAGGCTATTTAAAAAGGCAAGTACTTACATCCCACTAATTGTTTCCCCTGAGATAGAAAAATAAAAGAATCATTCTAGAAATTTAAAATTAAAATACCAATCTTCGCTTAGAAAAGTAAACAAATACTCTGTGATGTTCTTTTTTCCTCTAATTTTAAGAACATTCAAGTTCTTTCTCTCATGCATGCAATCATTAGCCATGATCTCCCTTTTCTTCAAAAGCTCTGTTCATTAGCCAGGGCTTCTGACTTTACATTTTCTGTAATATTTGAATAGCTTCTTTTGAACTCGGTGCTTCAGAGATAATTCACTGTTTCATCTTTCTTTATACAAGTCTCAAAGTAATAAATAAGTCAACGATGTCTACCTCTTTCTCTTTCTTTTCTTCCTCACTTGCCCTCTGATCTCAGAACCAACTGCTCCAGAGAATCTCTTCACACTGAGATCATTAGTGGCTTCCAAATTACCAAAGGAAACACATGCTTTTCCATTCTTGTTTTATCGGATTGACTCACTGTTGCTGATTTCTCTTGTTTAAAGTGCTTACATTCCACTTGATTGTTTCTTTCTGTTCTTCTAATATGTTCATTCTGTTTTTCCCAGTAAGGCCCTTTTATTTCACTGTGTACACCACTTTTGGTGTTCTTCAATGGATTCTTTCTTTTTCTCTCCCTCTCCCTGTCTCTCTCTCTCTCTCTTTCTCTCTTACACACACACACTTTAAATAAGTGATTATTAAGTATGAATAAGCATTGAAATCCAGAGAAAACTGGTGCCTGAGAACAACCCTTGAAGACTTACATTAATTGATGGGAGATGACAGCTGAAATTCGGATACTATAAAACAACTCCTTGGATGATGCTAACGCGAGTCCCGCTTTGAGAAGGTAAATATTCAGAAAGACCTCCAGACTTCCTATACTGGTCCCTCTACCATTGTGGAGTTTGTGTAATCTACATTCCTCTCTTGTCTTAATTCTTACACAGACTCATCAATCATCTATCGAATTATGATACCCTATAAAATTTAACTCAAAAATAATTCTAGTCTTAGATCTTATTTCCTCATATAGATAATAATAATTTTCATTTAGTCTTTTGTCAATTCTCCTTTTGTCTACTACATATAATTGTGTTCCCTATTTCCAGTTTTTCCACTGGAATTCATGTTTCAAACAGAAAATAGGAGGGTTTATTTTCAAAACAGTTTTATTTACTCCTCTATACGACTCAGGATTTCCTCATGAGCCTCAGAGGGGAAGTCAAGGCTTTGCTGAACAACGTAAAGGCTTTGCTTTCAAGCTCCATGGTCTTCCCAGTGACCCCTTTCAGCAGTGACTTCCTCATGTTTTTTGTGCCAGGATCAGCAAAGCACCTGTCATATTCTGCACAAAGCTTAAAGATCTTTGCTTTTATTTTCCTGCTGGATAAGCAAATGTGTTACCTACATATGTTTGTGCACACACACATACATTTGCCTGCTCACGTGCACAAATGCACATAATAACACACAATTGTATCTTGAATATCTTTAAAAACATGTTCATTGCAGCATTGTGTGTAAGAGCAAGAAGTTGGAAACAACTAGAATGCTATTCAGTGTCAAAAGGGATAAGGTTGTAGATTCATGTCTTAAAGTAGTATGTAAAATTCAAAATGGTACTTTAGTTATTTATATCACTATGAATAGATATCAAAAACACTGCTGAGTATAAAAGCCATATGTGGTAACATAAACACAATATCATACCATCTATAGATTATTTTAAAACACACAGAGAAGGACAGGAATGAAGGGTTATGGGTCAGAGGGAGTCAGCTGTGTATGAAAAATGGATATTTTGCAGAACCAAGGTTGTGTGTATGGTTAGAACTCTGCAAGCTCTTTTATATACCCTTTGACACATAAAGCTCAAAGACTAGGAAAGGGGAAAAATTCTTTTACATAAAAAGCAGAGAGCATGTGAGAAAAATAAAGCAATACTTCAGAACTCTTTATATCCTTTCCAAATTGAAGTCATATATCAGGATTGATTGGAAGAAATTCGACATCCTCTTGGGGTGGAGGTAGGGGAATGATATTATTAAGAAGAGGCACAGTGAAGAAAGACAAACTTCAGGGTCAGACACTGTGTCTGATTTTGTGTAGTCTGAGGGCAGGTTTAAATTGATCTGGAGCCCCAGAATCTGTTTCAAAAAATTATTATATTTTTAATAGTAATATAGTTGTATTTTTGTATTCTCAACTGGTAGAAAGGGATTGATGACATTTGAACTGATGCTCTGGGATCATTTCTCGCTTGGCCTGCCTCATTTGGATAGAGATCTTCTATGAGCCCGGTCTAATAGTTGGTAGCAAGTGGAGCCTGTTTTGCCTCAGAAAGCTTACAAAAAAGCAACACAGTCACTGGATAGGCGAAGCTTAAGTAAATAGGCCAGGCTAGCTCTGTCTTATAGATGGATGTTACATTTAGGTTTCTATATGTTCATTTCCCTTTGACACCTATTATCTTCATGGTAGCCCGATGTTACAGAATGAATTCAATAGCTAGACCGTGTGGATGTTGTCAGTTCCCCAGGTACGAGTTGTGTGACACTGAACACACATCTTTGTATTTCACTTTTCTCACTGTTAAATGAAGAAAATAAAAGTACAGGCTTTGAAAGCTTTTTATGAGAATTAATCCCAAATCTGGATCATAGTAAACACTATATGAAGATACGATCCACATGGGGCTAGGGTAAAGCTCAGGGGTACAGCCACTGCCTGGCAAGTGCAAGGTCTTGAGGTCGATTCCCGGTATGAAAAAAATATGACATACAAAAATCAGTTAATATTTAAATATCTACTCTTGAGATTTGTTTTAAACATAGCAGAAACTCTTAAAGGATTTTTAAAAATCCATAATACCTGTGTTCAATTCCATACCCTCTGATTTGGAATGACTGAAAGGCCACATGTTTTAAGTGTCCCTCATAGGATTCTGTTACCATATCAAATTGTAAAGCAGCCCTAAAAAGTAAAGTGCTTATTTTATTTCAAATAAAATACTGAGCCTCAAAGAAAATTACTTTTTTTTTGCAAAACTACACATCAGGTGAGAGATGAGAAGGGTGCTAGGAGGTAAGAATCTTTCTAAATTACTTTACCTACCATACAAAAAAAGCTGTATAAAACTACAGAAGACAGAGTTCAGAGAACAGAAACAGCAAATAAGAAACAATGGTGGGCACAGATGACAGAAACAAGGAAGCAGATAAGATAGAAAGTGACAGGTAACATTGTAGGGCGCTAATCAAAGGAAATTTGCCTTTCTGGCATAGTTAGGAGAAATTGGTGATGGTGGCAGTGGAACAGTTCAGCAATGCTCACAAAAACGAAGTCTTTCTGCCTCAGGCTCATCCTCTTGCTGAAGTTAACAATTCTTTAGCCTTGCAATAACATATTAGTAAAACTATTAATGTGAGTACCTGATGGCTTCTTTTCCTTGGAATTCAGGAGCTACAGGTTCAAAATAATCATCAAAGTGGAGCTCAGAATCTGTGTCTTTCTCAAAGACCTTATTATCAGTTTTTCGGCTTTGGAAACAAGATGATGAATTCAAGAAAAATAATGGAGAATAATGACATTCGTTCCCATCTAATTAATCAAGAGCAATAAAATATCAGATCAGAAATAATAATAGAAACAGAAAACAAGTCTGTTCAGAATAGTGCAGAATGTCTTGAACTTTCAACATTGTGGAAAAGTTCTTCTTAACGTTCCATTATTCAGAAGAAAACTTAATCAAGTAAACAATGAAAATTCAAAGGAAATAACATTGCAAAAATTAAACAATGTCATAGAACTTTCAACAAAATATACATCAAAGGTTTGGATAAAATATAACCTAAAATATATTTAGAAGAATGGAATAAATCAAATATTTGGGAAAACATAAAGCCTTACTATGACACATAAAAATAACTATAGATGTGTTTGAAAATAATACAGCACTCAGTTATATTAAGTACAGTTGAATATAATTTTGAAATCTATATACTGACATATAAGCTTACTAGTAAAGAGATTTTAAAAAATGAAGGAATCATACTTCTTCCATATAAGTACTGTTGATTTTTTAATTTTTTTCCAAATTTAAAATAATGAAGCAGTGTGTAAATTAGGAATGATAGATAAAAAGGAATATATACCAAATATATATACATATAGAAACATATTAGACAAACTTAACTACAGTTAAAATGGAGAAAACATAAAATCAGAATAATAAATAAGGTGATGTATGAACAAAAACATTCTGTGTGTGAAGAAATTTTGGATTTATATAAAATTCAGATGTGAAATAAAACTATATACATAATGTACTCCTATAAATATGAAAATGTTGAAACTAATGTTGAACAGATGTTTATTAGAGAACATGTCCACTGCGCAATGACCCTGTGCTGGCCAAACTGTGGCAAGAACTAGTTTCTTTCAGCTTATTCTGATAAATATCTAAAGTGTCACTACCCAAAAGACTTTCAAGGACACTTGAAAAAGTAACATTATTTAATTACTAGACAACCATAATGTTTTATAATTAGTAGTTTTACAAGAACACTCCTTTGAACTATTAAAATAATAAAGTAGAAAAAGATTTCATTTGTGCTGAGATAGAAGACAGTTATTTTCACTTCTAAAAATGTATTTACATAACATTAAGAAAAACCATTCAATGCAATCAATAATTATAGAGTCAGAGAGAAACTACTTACAGGGTAAAATTTTGTCGAAGTATAATGCCAATAATAAGTAGATAAAACAATCAAAAACCAACATGGCAAATATTGATATCATTATATATGAATCCCCTGAAGGGTCAGGAAAAGTTACACCAGTAGAGTTATAATCCAGCTGGAAAATCTAAGATTCAAGCAAAAATCATAATAAAAGTTTAAATTAGCAATATGTAACATGGAATAGCATCGAGGGTTATTAGTATATTAACTAGCTTGTATAAGAAATACCTTTTATTAGTTACCTATCAAACATGTAAGGAAATAAAAGTATTAGTTAAAGTATTTCTGTTGCATAGCAAACCAAAAGAATATCGAGAAAGTACTAGTTTTTAAAAATACAAGGTTGTGGTTTGTGTTCCTGTGGCCCCGCCCCAAGCCTCACACAGTCATAGATGCAACCAAATCTAGCGTTTCTGATTGGTTTGTTGTCTAGCTTTCAGACTGGTGATGTGAGTGCTACACCCGCCCAGGGGGTGGAGGCGGGATACAGTTTCAGAGCCAGAAGAAGGTGCACCTCACTTTTGCCTTTGCTTTTGCTGTTTGCTGCAGCCGTGAAGGGCTGCTCCACCACGCCAGGTTACCTTGGAGCCAACTAAATGTAGGCTAAAACCTCTAAAATTGTAAGAAATAAACCTTTCTTTCCCTACCTTTGGACATCAAGTATTTTGTCTCAATAAGTAAAAAATAACTAAGACATACAGCATGCTAAGTATCAGAGTTTAAATTAAAATTCATTTGCTTGCTTTCACTAAGGCATCAGGAAATGTCTATTCAGTGTAAAAAATGACATGCAACAGCCAGAGATTTAGCTCGGTGGCACAAGTGTCTGTCTGGCATCAGGTCATGAGTCCGATCCCCGGTACTCTCTCAAAAAAAATGGCATGCAAATTTCAAAAAAATATAAAGATTTAAAGTGCCTAATTAGGATAAGTTTAAGAATTTACATATTTTAATTTTATTCTTGCAAATATTTTTATTTATGTTAATTATGTTTTAGGTATTGTTCGAAATGTTTTAAAGAAATATTTTCTTATTTCACTTTGATCACAGTTCTATGAGACAACGTTCTTGTGTTCTTGCGTTTCACATATTGTAAAACTGAGGCACAGCAAAGCTGAGGTTCAGCAGTCAGGGGCAAAAATCACATAGCATGGTGGACTCGAACCTCAGGAGTCTCGCTCCTTAGGCCAGCTCCTCACCAAACACACTGGGAGGGTGCCTAGCATGGGGCAGGCTCTAAGTCCAAACTTCAGCACAAAAAACAAAAAAAAACAAGTGAAAATATGCATCTCTACAATGAAAACTAAAATAATTGTAAAGGAAATTGAAGAGCTCTAAATTAATACAATAATATATTACATTCATAACAAAAGAAGCATCAGGTTTCCCCAAATTTATTGAAAAATTTAGTTCCATCCAAATCTTAGCAGCTTTACAAACGTATGTATAAAAGTTGACAATCTAATCCTAAATTTATGTCACCACAAGGAAACTAAAACAAAAATATTTTGAAAAAGAAAATAAAATAATAAAAGTGTCACTCCTGGACATAAAGACACATTAAAAAGAAACTTAATTAATATACCAATAGAATGATGTCAGTAACATTGCAAGTCACTTGAGAAAGGGATGATATTAACAATAAGCAGAGCTGAAGAATTGGAAACTTAACACAGAAAAATTAATATTGCTTCAACCTATATATGCACACAAATTTTATTTTAAAATAGATTTTATATCTACATGTAAAAGCTGATTCTAGAATAAAGCTGAGTGTGGTGGCCCAAACCTGTAATCTGAAAACTCTGGGAGGCTGAGGCAGAAAGACTGCAAATTCAAACCCAGACTGGGCAGTTTAATGACTTAGCAAGACACTGAATCACAATTAAAAAACTTATAGGCTGTACATGTAGTTCATTGTGATGGGGCTGAGTTCAATCCTCAATACCAAAAAAAAAACAAACAAAAAAAAGAAACAGAATATCTTCTACTTCTGACACAAAAGCACTTTATAGAAAAGGAAAACTTGATAAACTAATTATATCAAAACCAAGAACCTTTCTTCATAAAAAACACCATCAAGAAATTAAAAAGCCTACCAAACACATAGAAATTATCTGGAAATTATCTGATATCTAGGAGTGTGTAATGAATGTCTAGAAGTGTCACCTCAACTCAGTAGAAAAATAAACAATGCCCTGGATAGGCAATTAACAAAAGAGAAAAATCCAAATAGGAAACAAACATAAAAAAGCATGCACCTTCTTCAGTAATTAAGAAAAGGCAAATTATAACCACACACATAAATTACTACAAATCTATCAGAATGGCTACACCTTGAAAAACTAACAATATCAAATGTTAGAATAAAATGGATCACTGAAGCACTGGCATAAAAGTAAGTAGAAGCAATCACCTTGAAAAACATAGGTGGCAGCTACAAGATTAAGATTTATATATTGCAGGACCCACTTAATTCACCCATGTATTTAAAAAAAAAACAAGCACTAGGAAACATGTGCAAGAGTATTTATTGTAGCTTTATTAAAAATCATTGAAAACTATGACTGGAGGTATAGCCCAGTGGGAGAGCTCTGGTTTAGCGTGAGAGGACCTGCTAGCAATGCATTCAATCAGCCAATAAAACAAATTTTAATTTATTAATAAGAACATCATTCATCGATTAGAAACTTGATAGTATAGTCACACAATAGAATATTACACAACACTACTAAAGTTACACAAGAACTATGAGCAATATCTAAGACTATAATGGGGGATGAAAAAAGCTAAATTTTGATAATATATTTTATACAATATAACTTATAAAATAAAATAAGCAAACTAAAAACTTATATTCTGAAACACAAATACAGTGTAATAAAAAACAAGAAAAAGATTATCATAAAACATTTACTTTAGGAGAATGGAATGTTTAGTACTAATCTATTTCTTTATCTAGTTTGTGGGTCTTTTGATGCTTTATAATTATTTAAACTATATTGTATGCTTTGAAAGTTGTTCCTATTTGATTGATAATTTATTTTAAATGTTTTATAATAGATTTAGATAGCAAGCTTAGTAAACTAGCAGAATGCTTCCATTATGTGAAAGGAAATATTTGTATGCAGGAAAAAAACTGGAAAGAAAAAAATCTCAAAAGGAAAGTGCATGTGAAGGGAGAAAATCTTGAAAATTTTATAATTTAAATTTTACTTATGAGATGACAACTTTTCTACAATACAAAATAAACTGCTTATAAAGTATCAAATTCTTTTAAAAGTGCAATAATAAATTCATTAACTGTTTTTACCTGTGCCATTCCAACAGCAAAAGTAAAAGGGCTCCAAATACTCAAAATCCACTTCAGGGATGAAGGAATTTGCACATAAAATGCCACGAATCCCACACATCCCCAGAAGATTGTAAGGAGCAACATAATCAGATTGGTGAGGGCAGCTTTCCGCAGCAGCACACTCATCAGGAAAGCTAAGGCAACCTGAAAGAGAGGACACTTAGCTGTCAAATGTATTTGGATAATTGAGAATTGTTGCTGGCATGATAGAATATCTTTTTTGTTTTAAAGATAAGTGTCAGTGAGAAAGTGATGGAATTGTTAAGGTATAATGATTCTGGCTTGCTCTCAGTCCTTAAGAGAATCTTTGCCTGCCCTGTTCACATGCTGGGCTTTTGTCGTCAGCAAAGAGGAGGAGACTTGAGGAAGATTTAAGGATCCCATAGATATCCCGACTTGGAAAAAGTGAGTGAAGTTACATTAACACACTAAGCAAAGGTTTCTATAATTTCTGTAGAAAACATTGGTGGTCCTTGTTCAGAGAAAGAACAGGAGAGTAAATTAGAGGAAGAAAGGTTTTGAATGGAAAGTTTTAAAGAAAAAATCGTATGTCAAGAAAATGTTCAGTAATCATCTAGAAAAGGGTTAGGTAGTTCCATGCTTCTTTTCAATGCATCATTTGATGAATTCAGAATTTTCCACCAAAGAGGGATCAAATTTCACATGAAGTTACATCATTTTATTACAGCTATAGAGATTTTAAGCAAATACACACATTACACACCATGAAAGGAGTGAGGTACTCGCTACTAACCTACTGGAGTTATTAATATTTGTTACATAGCTAACCATCTTAGCTAAAACCTAAGATGGAAAAAGTCATAATAAACGTATGAACTTACCAAAGATAAGCCATATAAGCACAAAAGTGTAAATATGACCACAAAGCCAGTCATGATGAAAATTTTGATGGATGTTACAATAATTGTAATGAATATAGAAATAATGAAGATAAAGCCAGCATAAATCAAACCCCAGGACAACCTAAATAAAGACAACATTATGTAAATTATTTTAACTTTATTAAGAAATACTTTAATTATGCAAAAGCATCTAAAATACATTCATATCTGTCACCTAGCTTAATAAATATAATTATTATGTGGGAGGACCCACTATGTAACCCTTACTACTATGTTTCTAAATACACCTTGTCCAGTAAATGACTATGAACAATACATTCCCTGGCTGGTATCTACAGCTAGGTATCAGCTGTGTGCATATATTATATAAATAGTATAAACATTGCCTAAATTCTTGTACTGCATATATTCTTCTATTTGCTTTTCTCATTCAACATTAAAAATATTATGCACTGTTTTGTAATATTTAATTGTATCAACATATCCTATTCTTCTGCCCATGGACATTCAAGTTGTTTCTAATTTGTCTTCTCATTATTGTAATGTCCAGAATGTTCTCTTATTTGGCTTTTGAAAAACAATAACTGTAAAGTGAAATGGCTGAATTAATGATTATATCATCACAAAAACCAAGTAAACAAACAAACACTGATGGGTGTGGTGGCGCATGGTGACAATCCCAGCACTCAGGAGGTTGAGACAGAAGGATCACAGTGAGTTCAAGGCCAGCCTCAGTTACATGATGATTTTGAGGCCAGCTTGAACTATAGAGCAAGACCCTGACTCAAAACAAATGTTAGAGAATAGAATAATACTTAGAGAGTTAGAGAATAGAATGATACTTAATAGCCATTGGTCAGCCAAGTAACTCTACAACCATAAGGGGAAGATGATAATTTGATCATTCTTGAGAATCTCTGCATGAATGCATCTCTACTTACAGAAGTAGTAGAAATTTGAAATTTCATAATTCCACTAAGCCCTTTCATTCTTCCTATTCCTTCCAAGGATTTCTTCAATTGATATGAATTTTGGCATACTTTTGTATATTCACACTGCTTTGTTTCAGATATACTCATGTTCACACTTTTATGAAGTACTTGTTAAGAACTAGTATTTAATCTTGGCTCTAACAGACTGTAGGGTACATAGTCCAGATTTCTTTTTTAATAAGAAAACTAAATGTAAATCTTTCCTATGTTAATACGTTTATCAAAAGTCAAAAACAAATCAACAAGAAGGAACAGGTGAATCTAGAGACCTTTGTTCTCTCCACAGAGTCTTTCCATTTAAAATTTCATAATTAAATATGAATTCAACAGCCAAAAAATACAACACGCATTAACACTATGCCTTTTCATTAGTATGTCCTGTCCAGTAGAACAATTTTATGCTGAATTTGCTGCTTGACTTACTTTTAATTTTCTTGAAATTACAATATTTCAGCCTATATTAGAAATAGCATTTTTGAAAAGGACAACACATTCTGCAGAATTCACTTCCTTAATACAGAAAGGAACTATTTTAGGAAGGAATTAGAAATCCACAGTCTAGGAGGATTATTAATGAAGCAGATGGAGCACTAACCAGAAAAAGGAACCAGTTGCAGGGTGGAGCTGAGAGATATTAATAAACTTAGAAAAATATTCTGACTAAAGACAAAGTAATTCAGATATGAAACTTAAAAATAAATGCTGGTTACATTTCACATTATGACATTAGTAAAGAAATCATAACATATATTTCCGATAGACACACACTTTGTGGAAATGTTTCAAAATCTTTTTCCTTCTCAGTATAAGGGTGCATATACCAGTTCATTTGGATGAGTTTTAGGTTACATGTATCTAAAAATCATTCTGAAAATGGATCTTCTCAAATGTACACCAATTTTTGACTTTGAGATTGACTGGAGACTCTCTGGCTTTGGGTAACTACTAACATTCTGTCCCACAGGACTTGCTTTGCACCAGAAGGAAGCCTTTTTTACAGGGATGCCTTATGTATGTCTTCTAACAAACTCTGTGGGTGGCTATAAATCCATTTCTTTTTATTTCCCCATACCACTGAAAGAAATGCTTCTCTCTTTTTTATTTTAAGACATGACTTCCTCTATTCCTATTTTACAAATGATACAAATTAAAATTCTTTCTGGATCAGAGTCAGTAATTAATTGGACACAGCATAAATGCTATGAAAAACCTGTTCACTGAAGTAATGGCAGAAAACTTCCCAAACAAGGAAAAATATTCGACATACAAATAAGTGAGACATATAGAACTCCAGTTAACCATGTCAAAAATAAACCTATACCAGGCCATGTAATAATCACGATTGGAAATTCAACACAAGTACAGAATAGTAAAAGTGGATAGAGAAAAGAAATAAATCACCTGTAAAGCAAAGCTCATCAGAATCACAGCAGACTTTTCTACACAAACACTTAAGTCAAGGAGATCTTGATTTATTTCAGACCCTGAAAGAAAATAATCTCCTATCCTGCAAAACTGCCTTTAAAATCAATGGAGAAATAAGATACTTCCATAACAAAGAACAATTGAAGAAATTTCATGACCACAAAGCCAGCTATGCAAAATGTTATGAAAAATCTTTTAGAAAGAGATAAAAAAAATCATAATTCCAAGAACACCAGTAGAAGAAAACCAACAAGCAGGTCAAGCAATTAAATAGATGAGAAAGATAAGAACCAACAGCAGGAAAATAATATGATAAGGATAAATGAAGAGATGTAAAGCATCAATTTAACAATTATAACATATAAAGTATCAATATAAATGACCTCAATTCACCAATAAAAATTAGCTGGCAGAATGGATCAAGAAACAAGATCCAATAGTATGCATAAAAGAAACACATTTACCTAAAAAAGAAACTCATGTACTGAAAGTCAAAGGATGGAAAACAATACTCAATGTGACAGGAGCCCAGAAAAAAATCAGGGGTAGCTACTCCATTTTTAGACAAAGTAAACTTCAAGGCAAAATTAATCAAGAGATAAAGAAAGTCCTTATATACTAGTTAAGACAAAACTGAAAAAAAAGAGCTAACAATCATAAACACATATGCACCAAATATAAGTGCACTCAACTACATAAAGCAAATATTAATAATCTTGAAAAATCAAATAAGCACTAAAAAAATTGTAATAGGGGACCATAACACCCCACTGTCAGAAATAGATCAACTAGACAAAAAAAATAATATAGAAATATCAGAACTTCACCAAACTGGTGAACTAATGGACATAGTAGATGTCTATGGAGTGTTCCAACCCATAGCGTAAGAGTACAGATTCTTCTCAGCTATGTGAGGAATGTTCTCCAAGATACACCACATGCTAGCTTACAGAACATGCTTAAGTAGGTGCAAAGGAATTGAAATTATCCATCCATGTATATTATCTGACCATAGCATAATGAGATTGGAATAAATAATAAATAAGCAAACACAAGAACTTCATAACACACGAAAGTGAAATAACACCCTCCTAAAAACCACATGAACTTCAAGGAGGAATTAAATAGTATTTACAATTAAATGATAATATCCACACAATACATTGGAACTTATGGGGGTCAATGAAAGCAGTCCTAAGAGAAAAATTTATAGTGATTAATTCTCAGGAAAACAGAAGAGCTCAAATAAACAATGTGATGCTGAACATTAAACTGATAAATTCATAGCTAACCTATCAAGAAAAGGAAAGATTCAAGTTCATGCAATTAAGAAAATAAAAGATAAAATCACAACAGATCCTGTGAAAATCTACAAGATCATCAATGCTTAATTCCAGAATCTTTACTCTAATATGATGGAAAACAAAAGAAATGTATAGATTCCTAGAATACAAAGTTGGATCAAGAAGTTATAAAAATTCTGAGTAATTCAATACCAGTGAATGAAATTTAAAATGTGATTTAAAATTTACCAACAAAGAAAAGACTAGCTTATGACGGATTCACCACTGAATTCTATGAGAAATTTTGAGAAGATCTGATGACATTTCTCTTAAAACTCTTTGATGAAATTAAAAGGGAAGCAATACTCCAAAAGACATTCCTAGAAGTAAGTAGTACCCTCACACCAAAACCAGAGAAGGAGCCAACCAAAAAGAGAGTTACAGATCAATCTTCCTAATGAAGATGCATGCACAAAATCTGCAATGAGACACTGAAAAGCAGAATACAGCAAGTCATCAAGAAAATTATACACCATGACCAAGTAAGATTCCTCCAAGAGATGTAGGCATGGATCAACATGCTAATCAATAAATGGGGTATACCGTATCAACAGAGTCAAAGACAAAAATTGCATGATCATCTCAATAAACACAGAAAAAGAATTTGAGAGAGTCTGACACCTACTGATGATAAAAATCCTAAAGAAAATTGGAATAGATGGACTTTATCTCAATCTGATAAAAGCCATCTATGACAAACCAATAGCCAACATAATATTAAATGGACAAAAACAAAGCTTTTACTCTAAAATCAGGATCAAGACAAGGATATTCACTGTATCTACTCCTACTCAATATAGTTCTGGAAATATTAGTCAGAGAAATCAGAGAAATAAATAAGTATAACAAAGATAGGAAATTAAAGAAGTTAAACTACCATTATTTGCAAAAGATCCTCAGAACTCCAACAGACTTCTGGATTTCATAAACAAGTTCCGTAGCATAACTGGGTACAAAGTCAATACTGAAAAGTCAATAGCATTCCTGTACACAAATAACAAACCCACTGAGAGAGAAATTAGGGAAGCAACACCTTTCATGATAGCACCGAAAATCTGAAATAGGAATCAGTGTAACAAAGGAAGCAAAATATTTTTATTTTGAAACTAAGGGCACTCTGAAAAATGAGATTGAGGAGGATATCAGAAAATGGAGAGATATCACTTTCTCTTGGGTAGGAAGAGCCAACATAGTCAAAATAGCCATATACCCAAAATTGTCACACAGATTTAATGCAACCTCAATCAAAATATCGCTAGGATATCTCACAGAAATAGAGAAAAGATTCCTAAAGTTCATTTGAAACCAGAAGACAGCTAGAACAGCAAAAACAATTATGGGCAACAAAGGCAAGACAGGGGACATCACAATCCCTGACTCAAATTTATATTACAGAGCTACTGTTATAAAAACAGCATGGTACTAGCAGGACAGATTACAATATAGAGAAACAACTCAAAACACACTCAGCCACCACCTTTTCTTGACAAAAGGGTCAAACACATTCACTGAAGGAAAGATAGCCTCTTTAATAAATAGTGCTAGAAAAACTGGGTTTCCACATGTCAAAATTAAAACTAGACTCATATCTATTACCATGTATGTGCTAAATGAAAATTTAAATAGATCAAAGATCTAAATACAAAGACAGAAATACCAAATATGCCAGAAAAAGAATATACCTATACCTATGGAACAAGGCTTCATGAACAAAATGCAGATTGCCTGGGAAATACGGTAAAGAATCAACAGCTGATATCTTACCTTATTAAAAAGACTTTGCACAGCAAAAGAAATCACTAACAGAGTGAAAAGAGAGCCCACAGAGTAGGAAAAATTTTTAGCCAGATTTTCCTTAAAGAACTAATATCTAGAACTTATAAAGAATTTAAAAAATGAGACTCTTCAAATTTTAAGACCCAGTTCAACTACGGGCATCCAACGTGAATACATACATCTCAGATGAAGAAGTGTAAATGCCAAACAAATATATGAAAAAATGTTCAACATCACTGATCATTGGAGAGATGCAAACCAAGACAACCTTAATATTTTGTCTCGCTCCAGAAAGAATTGTTCTTATCAAGAAATCAGCCAGCAACAAATGCTTGCAGGGCTGCGGGGAAAAAGAAATGCTTCTCCACAGTTGGTGGAAGTGTAATTTTGTGCAACCTCTGTGGAAATCAGAATGGAGATTCCTAAAAATAAAACCCCTAAGACTAGAGGTCCTATTGACCCAGCTATTCCTCTTCTTGGTATCTTCCCAAAAGAATTTAAAACATCATACCACAGCAATATATATTCACCCATGTTTATAACAGCACAGTTTGTAAAAGCTAAATCTTGGCAACAACATAAATGCATATCAACCAGTGAATGGATGAAAGATACATTTTTTTCTATAATGAAATAGTACTCAGTTATAAAGAAGGATAAACTAGAGATATTTATATCTAAATGGATGGACCTTGGGACCATACTCTTAAGTGAATAAATCAGACACACTTGTGTAAATATTACATGGTCTGTCTGGTATGAGAAAGAGAAAGTATGGATAAGACCCAAAATTTACATTAGATACTGTGAAATGGGAAGAAAATATTCAAAAGAAAAAGTGAATGAGGAAGAGGGAGAGGAAATGAAAAAAGACGAAAGAAAAAATGAGAAAAGAAAGATAAAATGGAAACAAAGTTTTGTAAGTAAAAAGGAAAAGTGGAGTTGACGGGAGGGGGTAGAAAGAGGAACCAAGATATATAATGTCCAGCTACAAATTCCCCATGATGGATGTCACCATTATGTATCTCTAAAGTGCGCAAATAAAAAAAATTCTCTCTGTTGGCAAAGTATATTTTACGAAAAAGTGAAAGTTCATTAGATGATAATATTGCAGGGAATGTGTAGCTTGCAAAGGGTTATTCAATAAAGAATTACAAACACATTACAGGTAGTTCTACCTGCACAAAGAATATTTTCTTGGTATGAGGCATGCATGGAGAATTATCCCCCATGATTCAATAGTTTTAAATGTTTGCATTCTTTGGAGTTAAAATAAACAGTGATTTTTCATTTTCCTAGGCAATGTACATATTATCACTGGTAGTCTTATAAAATTCTGTCTGCTTGAGAGTTTAGAGTTTGCACACTTTGCTTCTCTGTTGACTAATCTCATCTATTTGTTATTTTGCTCTTTGTTTCTATTGCAGATATTTCATGATACAAATCCATTAAGGTATATACAAATACACATTTATGTATCACAATCACAGTAAATATATGTATTCCTTGCCCCAAATATATATAAGTATATAACATATAAAAATTTGTATATAATATATAGACACATAATTATGAATATATTAATAAATATATAAGCATAATATATGAATATAATATATAAATTATATATTATATAATATACTTGTATACTATATTATACAATATATATTATATAAATATTATTAATGTATACTTATATATTATATAATATACATTATATAAATATATTAATGCATATTATATAATATAATACATAATGTATATTATATAATATAAATAATAATAGTATGTACATATATTAGATATAACATAAAAATATATATTATTTATTTATGTTCATATGTATTTATATATGTACATTATGTATAAATTTTATATATTATATAATATATTCATATATTATATAAATACATATTTATCATGTATATATTCATATATATTTTTATACAAATATTACATATACATTTATTATATATATATAAATGAGGCAAAAGTTCTAATGAAGCCTTTCTGCATGCTAGCCTATGTGCTGTTGTTTTGAGCATGTTACATGGGCTATCTCATTTAACTGTAACATATGGTATTTACTTACCTCAAAAAAACGTAAGTGCCTGGTGGCAAAGTGCCTGCACAGGGACTTTATACGTCTCCACTTTCTTCAACATGCAGAAGCTTGGAACCAGATGATAATTCTAGGCAGATTAGGTAGAAGAGCTGTATCTAAACACCTTTGAGGCGTCCCAGTTATAGCACTGACCATATGGACACCGTACAACTCTGTTCTCTTTCACTGTCACTTTCCTTGTTTACAAATTGGATGGCACTGTCTCTGTCCTAGGCTTAGTTTAGAGCACCAGTGACATAGAGAAAGGGCTCAGTGAACTGTCATCACTATTTTCCATGGCAAATTTAAGCACAAAATCAAGACTCCATAACAGAGAAAAAAATGGCCAGCATGTCAAATTTAAACCATGATGTTCAGAAATATTATTTTTTCACTGCTTCGTAGTTTCTCTGATTATCGGTTTGCCCTACTTGAGTTAATCACTCACCAGAATGCTGAATCTTGTAGACCCATCGTTTTCATTAAATTTTTATGCTTTTTTCTTTCTTTAGTAACATCAAGTGATACAAAATATATAAATGGGAAGAAGTAAATCAAGCAGAATAAAATAAAGATTCCAATTTGAGGAACGCTTTTAGAAACAAACGGTAATGTCTTCATATTTATAGCAGTGACTGACATCAACTCCTCCATCACAGAGTGATTTGTTGTGATCTAAGAATTTAAAGGAACATAAATCATTATTGAAAGGCTAGATACTGATGAAATCTGAGTAAGTTTTGAAAAGTTAGCAATGTCAATTTCTTAGTTTTAATATTGTACTATAATTATGCCAGATGTTAGCATTAGGGGAGACACCCAGCTGGAAACCTGAGCATATATCATTGCTCTGATATGAATGTGTCCCCTCTAAAATTTATGCTCAAATTTCATTCCCACTGTGTTGACATTAGAGATGGAGATTTTGGGAGATGATTAAGTAACAAGTGAATAGATCAGTCCACCCTCTTGAAACAGATCAATATCGTATCAAAAGTAGTTGAGACCCTTTCTGTTCCCCTGCTTTTCTACCCTATGACGATATTAGTTGGTGACATCTGTGAGGAGCAGGTCATCAGCAGACACTGAACCTGTCAGTACCTTGATCTTATACTTCCCAGTCTCTAAAAGTTAAGACACAAATTCCCGTTCTTTTAAAATTAACCAGTATCAAGTATTGGGTTATAGAAGCACCAATGAACCAAGATAGTCACCTTTCATCAGACCCTTTGTGCTGTCCAAGTGAGTCCACATTACACTATATTAAACTAACCAAAAGTTACATTGTAGCTTTTAAATTGAAGACTTACTTCTATAATAGCAGCATTAATGACAGTTTGTAAAGCCACAAATCCATTATTCCAGTATTTGGACAATGCACATGAAAATTTATCATATTCTTCCCAGCAATGACCTGTAAGCATGAAGAAAAACATAGATACCATCATGACAGGAGAAGAGTTGGAGAACAAGAAACAAGAATCCAAGGGAAACGAATTCATCAGCCAGAACTTTTATCTGCGTAAAGTAGAAGAGAACAAAATTCTTCATAAGGTAGTTTTATTCACAAAACCCCACAAATTCCAGCCCTACAGCTTTCTTTGCTCTTGAATGCTGGCCTCCTAGATGAAATTCTTTCATTTGGATTTGCCCTTTAAAAAGTTACTATCCTACAGATCTTTCTTGTCCCTACAAATAAAATATCTAAAATTACTATTTTACAATTTATCTTTTAACCTTGCTTTATTTTACTTTGTTGAGTGTATAGTAAGCTTTGTGTCTTGTTAACTTCAGTCCCTAGGACCCAAAGCTTTTATTAACACTCAGTGCATGAATAGGAAAGAAGCGATCCTGCTAGTCCCATCGATTCTTCTCTAAGGGATCTTCTAATCCATCCATCCCGCGTCCTCCATTACCATCTGAGCCACCATCAGCTCACTGGGAGGGTTTGTGACAGTCTCCATGAAAGATTTGCAACACATTCTCTGGGCTAAATCAGGACTCTTGGCTTATTTTGTCTTGATTGAAGTGTATCAGTGGCTACCTAATATTCCAGGTTTACAAGACGTCACAGGACCTAGTCCCTGAGTTACTTAAGGTTTACTCTTTCTTCATATTACTTTTTATGTGCTTATTCCACGATTATCTTTCTCACCTCAGGTTCTTCACATTTGTGTTTGTTCTATCTGAAACACAATGCCACTAGCTCCTCACAACTGACATCCTCCTGGTCAAAGTCTCCACAAGAAGTTTTCTTTGGATTTTCCATTAATTATTCAATGTCTGTCTTTTCTACTACATTGGGATCTCACCTGGTGTTGGGACTCTGATCACTCCTGCATCCTCTGAAACATACACCCAAGGGCTCAACAGATACATGTTGAATTACTCTACAATCTTTGGATGGTAAATCTTTAGTGAGAATATAATTTGGGGTTTGGAATAAATTAAACAGTAAAATGTCATTCTATTTTCTCGGATGTTATTTAAAGAATCTCTGTTGCCCATTGTCACCTATTCTTTTAGTTAAAAACATGAAATTTTATATGAAAACTTACTGAATAAATCTTCCTTCAAGAATGGAACTTCAAATCCTCGAAAAACTTTTAACTTGTAAGAGAAAGTATCAGTAAAGATGATTCCCATAGCATGTGGTAAATTCTGTGACAGCATTTTATCCATATATTCTTTATTTGGCACCCCAATGATTCTTTCTTCTGTGAATTACAAAGTAAAAAAATAGAGAATTGTCACAGGGTTTCACCAAAACAAAATGTGATACCCATCAATGCGTTTTTAGGTACTTTCATTAGATTTAAACAAAACAAATGTTTCCATGAAATCATATAAACTAAAAGTCAACGTGGGAATTTTAATTTTAATGTTCTAAATTCCAAAATCGGGAGACATACATAAGAAATAAATGTTTTCTTTACATAATGGTAGACATCAGGGCAAGTGTAAGGTAAATAAATAACATTATGATTGGGTAAGTAGTTCAGAAGAGAACTAAAATACAAAAACTAGAGGATATTGTTTTAGTTACTATACAGCTGAGAAATCCCGATTTCATATTTACTGAAACATAGACATTTACATGACCTTTGTCTTAATCAGGAAACAAGATAAAATGACCGTTTTTAACAGCCTGAAATCTCACTTATTAGAAATGTAGTAAAAGCCAGGTTATATCCTGCTTGCCTGTGAATTAAATACAGTATTAATTCTATTTATTCTGAACTAATTTAGATTGAAGACTTTTAAAGATGTCTACAAATGATAATATATGCAGAAAAGAATAATTTTCAGTTATCCATTTTCTTTTCATAATTATGACCCAGTAACTATGACCTAATCTTTTATTTAGATTCTTCTCCTGAGTTATAAATCACAATTGTTGCATTACTATATTAAAGAAATACACAATCACCAATAGAGACATTGCTTCTAATATCTATTCTGTAAATCTGAAATTATAGACTTGTTGGTCCATTGTGGCCAGCGTAAGTGTTGGTTCCCTAAACTGAATCTTCATCAAGCTGAGAGGATTTAGAAGGATAACTACTTGTAAACTATCTTGATAATTATTTAGTTAGCAGCATGCGTCACTGTGTCTTCAGATTAACAGGTATGCATCTTATTAAAAAACTAATCAATAATTATTTCTTGCCTTTAGTATACCTACCTTTCATAAAGGGAAGAAATGTTGTTTTATTCATTATCTGCTGGGTTATGTTAGAGATTGGCATGTACACGAGCTTTACAGAAGAACTATTGAATTTATCTACCCTCCCAAGATCTTGAGGAGGCATTTCAGGAAACAGCATATTTTCTCCAAAAAATGAAAACAGACCTATATACAGTCCTAAAAGTATTGGGAGGCCCCATTCCTATAAAACATTTTAAAAACATACAAGAGAACAGATTTAGATTATTTTCTCTTAAAGCCAGTCAACATTAATGAATTGTTGAAGACAAATTTCACTTTGACCATGTGCTCTTCAAACCAGTGAGAACCCAATGGAAGATAAATACTGAGTTATTAGCCAGGTGCATCATTTTTAGATGAGTGCTACAAGTCAATTGCATTAAAACGTGAAATAATTCAGAATCCTATTTCCCCCCTCCAAAATAAGACCTCCCAGGGTAGATCTTATTTTGAGGGACATGGTTATGTAAAAACTAACAGGATGTCTAATAGGATAACAATCTCCAATAGGTCCAAATGTCTAGGCAGCAAATTCTGGAATCTATAAGGCACTGAGTATTCCAGATAGAGATCACAGTGGCAAATAGCAATATTCTTGCTAATTTCCATGTCGTTCTGTTAGAAACTAGGCATGGTGGCACCTGCCTATAAACCCAGCTACTAAGAAGACAGAGAGAAGATGAAAAGTTTGAGGTCCACCTTGACAACTCAAAATTCTATGCAAAGTTTTTTTGAAAACTGGAGATATAGCTCAATTCTATCTGAGTATAATCCCCAATAAATACCAACAAGCCAGAAGAAAGAAAAAAGAGAGGATGGGAAAGAAGGTGAGGGGCTCGATTGCTAGAGACTATCTATATGTTGCCAATATGAATAAACTTTTTCTTCTTGACAAAATGCTTGAGTACATCTCCAGCCTTCCAAAATTAAGTTGGACTAAATGATTGAGCTCTAGCCAATGGGATGGGCACAAAAGTCATTATGTGCCCTTTCAGGAGTGGCTAATGCAGCCAAACACAACCTTCTATATTATTTTGGTTTCAATTCATCTTCTCTTAACCTACTGATTGGACTCAGAGGATTCCATGGCCATCTCCTGGATCTAGGAAGATAGCAGACTTCCTACATAAAGAAGTTTTAGCCCTTAACTGATAAGAGAAGATTCCTCCACTCATCCAACCCCCTCCTCTACTGCCAAATAATCAGCCTATGGCCTTCACTCTGTGAAGCCATGGAGTTGTGGGCTGGTCACCTGTCACTAGCCCGCCATTCACCCAATGCAAGCCACCAGTGGTATTACTTTGTCATGACTCTTGGGAAAGTCTTTATGTAGAAAATTCATAGTCTTTAATATAAAAATTCTCAGTTTATAGTAGGCAAAATTTTTACTATTTCTTGGCTCTGAATACATAGTATGTGATAGCTTCAACAGCTGGCCATAATTTCATTAAATTTCATTAAATTTCAACTTACTCTCTTCAAATACATATAATACTTTTATTTCACCATTTCATTAAATTTCAACTTACTCTCTTCAAATACGTATAATACTTTTATTTTTTACAATCCCATGTTATTGTTCAAAAACTACTGTAAGTGTCCTAATTAAACAAATGCAACTAGACAAAACCTCAAAATCAATACATACAGTCTGGTAATTAAAATGTAACATTTGAAATCGCTAGACAATAAAATAAAGAGTTCTGAGTGTAGAGAGAGGCAAACCTTCAAACATACCCATGAGCTCTCTCTTTTCAGCCTCCATTTCTTAAGAAAATTCTTTCGCAGAAGTGCTTGAGTTTGCTGGTATACACTTATCTGTTTTATGCTCATTTCACCTGTCCATTAAATGAACAAAGAGAAAGTAAGGCAGAAAAATAAGTATTAGAAGACAATCTTGATCATATTTTTCATTAAAATAGCTCTTCAAAAACAGTTAAACCAATTTGACATATTATTGCAAAAACTAAAATTTCACATCAAATATTTATATATTCACTTTAAACTATCTGGTAAAGTGAGGGTTTTTTGTTTTGTTTTGTTTTGTTTTTTTGTCTTTTTGCTTTTTTTATTGGTACCAGAGATCGAACTCACGATTGCCTGCTTGCAAGGCAGGCGCTTATGCCGCTGAGCTAAATCTCCAGCCCATAAAGTGAGTTTTGATGGAGAATAGAATGATTATTATCACACTTTTACAATAACAGAGTACTACAATGGGAAACTACTATTAGCATTCATAATATGGAAGACAACCTCACACTTTCACCTCCTATCAGAATTCAACAATGTGAATGCAATAATTAAGTTGTATCTCATCCTATTAGTAGCCATTTCTTGTTCCTCACATCCTAATAGAAATCTCAGGGCTAAACAAATTAACATCAAAATTCCATTTGAATTTATCTGAATGACGAGTTATACTCAGCAGACATAGCAGCAATAAAAGTATTTACCTTCAGATTTAAGGAAACAACTTTTAACCATGAATTAGGATATAGAATAATAATCCAGGCTCCAATTACTTGAAACTTGATTGTAAGACGCAGGAAGACCAAATAATTTCTCTCAATTTTTCTGAATTCAGAAGTCCCTGAATAAATCAAGAGACAAACTACAAAACAAAATTTTTTTAAAAAATAGAATTATAGAAAAAAAGTATTTTCTGCCTAAATGACATAAAATTCAAATAAGAAACCAAAATTATTTTGTCAGGTTTTATAATATCCCAATTTAACTTTTATCTCAAATTTGAAAATCATAATATTCACACAATCCCCTTCAGCTAATACAGAAGCAAATTTTACTGTTTTTTTTTTCTGTATTTTACTGTGTATCTATACAATAGATATTGTACGGAAAAAGTACAAAAATTTTTTCACTAAGTCTTTAACATAAAACATATAAATACCTGAAATCATCTGAAAAATAGATTGATTTTAGCAATGTCCATCTATCTACTTGGCATAATATTTAAAAAATTGAAGTTTTACTTACTGTCAGAAAAATTAGAATATGTACTCAGGAAACAGTCAAAACCACAGTTCTATTTTTGTCTAGTACAACAATTAAAACTTTTTTGCTGCTTCTTCATTTATTCATTAAACTGGTGGCTACTCCCAACAGTTCTTACTCAGACTGGTTTCTGAAAAGCGGTAGTGCCTAAATAAGTCAAGCACGTGATGAACTTGTTTTGTTTTCTGTGTGTGTGTTTTTCCCCGTAAGCCAGCTATTCTGCAGGGCAATAACTGTCCTGTGATTGGCTGGAATAACAGAACTCTCTGTTTGTCCATTTGGCCTTTCAACTCTGTGAAGAAGAGAGGAAATAGTAAACAAGGAAGATGGAACTGGTCAATCGGACATCATGAGACAAAGATGGAGAAAAGAACGAAAAAAAGAGGAAAATAACAACCAAAAACCCAGTTAAATTTGTATGAGAAAGCTCTATTTTTTTTCCATTACTGATGATTACCACGTCTGTGAATTTGCCAAACTCAGCATAAACAGGCAGAACAGTGGAGAACAGATTTTTTTTTCCCCTGATGGAGTTAAGCAATTCATATTCTGCCTTGGGAAAACTCTCAGGGTGGACAAATGAATAATTATGAACAAATTCTTTTCTCCCAGTGTATTCATTGTAAATGTAGAGTTTTATAAGATGCAAGAACAAAATAAAAGTAAGTCAATAAAACAACAACAATAAACATTCAGGTGAATTTTTGTGCAATAGTACCAGAAAGAAAAACTAAACTGTATTCAATTCCCATTTCGAAATCTGTCTGAAAAGAACTGCAAACTTTTCTTGAGCTGCCACAGTAAAAGGCAAAAACAGGAAACCAAAGTCCGTGAATTGGGAAATCTCAAATATTTGAGATGGCTCCCAATCCACAGATGTTAATAATCATAAAGCTGAGAGATGTCCCGGAGTAAAGTTGGGTAATTAAAGAAAGCAAAAGCTGTGAAATATATGTATATATTTCTTTAGCAATTAGTCCTACTTTTAAAAGTAGTCAACAGTGAAATCTTGAATAGCTTTTATGTTTAAATTGGCAGAAACAAAAGGTAGTAGAGGAGTTCTGGGGTCCTATGTGATCTGTGGAAAAGCTAGAAACTTAAAATTTAGTATCAATAATATAATGAAAAATTTTGCTATAGAATTTTATGCCGTTTACTCCCCACTTTAGGAATCATTTTGTCTTTGTAATAATCATTAAAATTGGGAACTATAATACCACTAATTTCTTAGATTGCATATATTTTACATTACTCCCTATTTCTTGTATGTGCTTTGAATTCCTCTCTTTGACTTCTTAATAGATTCTGATTTGTTTTCATTTGGGGCTGACCATTTTTTTCACTTAAGTGTGAAGATTTCCCTATAGACAGTTACCTAATATAATAAAAAAGACACAACTTGTAGCTAGAAGGAAACTGGAATAGTGAGTAAAATATATTCTAGATGCATAACCAAAGTTAATAAATGAGAAAGAAAACATAGTGAAAAGAAGCTAATAAACACTGAAAGAAACAAAGAAAGGAAGGCATACACCAGGGTAATAAAATTTAAAAAGGTAATTAAAATTTTCCTTGAACTGAAAAGAAAGTGCTCTAAACGATATAACTGCATGTATATTTAAGTGTATAAGATAGATAATGATATTACTGAGTTTTATTGGATCATTGAACAGAACTGTTTGCAGTCTCACTGTTGGAATGTCCACTTTATAAGCTTTAATTTTGTAACTTGAACAATTATTTCTAAGATGACAAAATGTAATCCATTAACTAGTGATTTCCTACTGTTTATTTTTTTCTGTAAATCTGTATAACTTGTACCCTTTCTCTGCTTTTTTTTTCTTTTTCTCCTTAAATAAAATTAAAAATTTTTTTTCCTTGAACTATGAGTGGCATTTCAGACAATGGAGAAGTCCCAGGGTATATTGGGCTGAGACCCAAGTCTCAGGTTTCTTAAGGCCCCTATGAACTGAATTTAATCTTCAACAAAATGGGATGCAGAAATTCATATCCTTGCATGAATTCAGATGCTTTACAGAACTGTATTGTGTTAAAAGTTGTTTAGAAATTTTCACCTATTACCTGTAGGGCACAGTGGAGATTGACAGACAGTCTCCGTGACATATTAAAAAAAGAAAACCTCAAGTATGCATACCAAACGTCATGTAAAGGAGATAGAAGAGAGAACTGCCAGTTTAGTAACAGAAACAATATGATAGCAATTGCTATATGCACTCTAGGGTAAATTTGGTGAAAATTCTAGTTCTATTATCACATTTCCAAAGAAGAAATAGCCAGGTGCAGTGAAGTGAAGGCCAGGAGCGGTAACATAGCATCTCCAAGATTTCTGATCTAGACACCTGGAATAAAACACCTTAGTGAAGAAAACAGAAAAAAAAGAACTCCAGGAATCAAGAAAAAAGTGGTGGAAAAACTAGAATTCACAGAGATACTGGAAAAACTGAAGACATTATCAAGAAAACAACGTCTGGCATGTGAATGGGAACCCCCAAAGAGAAGAACTTGTCTCCACAAACACAAGGTAAGCCAGGGGAAACAAAGTAAGGAACTCAGAGTGCTACCGCTCCCCCAAATCCCACAGCTATTTGGTGTGGAATTTTGTATGAAAGTGACTCCTTTCCCATGGCAGGCTAGAGTTGAAGAAACCAGTTGTAGCACACACCATAATTGGAAGTAATTTAATCAGGAGCCATTTTGGTAAGAAATAAATTGTTTAAGACTAAGGTACTCTGGGAATTGGAAGTCATGGAAGAAGTACTCTTCCGGGTTTCCGCAGCCATTACCACAGTGCCAGGCAGGAAGGACATGGTGGTCCCACCCACTGTGGTAAAAAGCCAGGCCTGCCCTGTGTTTTTCTGAGGGGGCTGGGTATGAAAGTATTTGCATAACATCCGGGGGACTGCTTGATAATCACCAACTATATTGTCCACTTCTAGCTTCCCCCACCTGCCAGTGCGATCAGAGATATCCTTTAGCTATGATGTTACCAAGTCTCAGAATGTATAGACAGTGAGCCTGTGGGACAGATGGGCATGCACGAGCTCACAGGCCACAAAGTAAGCAGGCAGAGCAGTGACTTGGAGTGAAGAGAGAGGGGAAACACTAAGAGCTGCTGGATGGGATACAACCCAACACAAAAACCATCCTAGTGACTGACCGTGCCCAACAGGAAAAGTGTAGCAAAGACTCACCATCACACAGAAAATAGAAATGGAGATGCAAATAAGTAAGTCCTGTGGTTGCTATTCCCCATCCCCATACTTGGTGGTTTCCAATACTATACACCCTGAAAAGGAACCATTTGCCCAAACACACTGAAATTATTTTTTTGTCTTATTTCTCTTTTTTCTTTTTTTGAGTTTATTTCTTTCTTTTCCTTATTCCCTTTCTATTTTGCTTTGTTTTATCATTTTCTCATTTTATTTTCTTTGTTTTCTACTGATACTTTAATTCTGTTAACTTTCTTTGACTCTTTGATTCTTTAATTTCTCTTTCTGCCCTCCTGCTTCTCATCTTCCTTTTATTTATGTTTCAAATTTGATTTCTTTTACCACTCTCCATTTTCATTATTACAATTAAGCTTTATTAGCCTTTTAATATTGGGTTGATTAAATGCTATTTTTGCTGATCTATTTTCTATTACTAATTCACAATAGCTACATGTTGGAAACTGAATATATGCCCTTCGGTAAATAAATGGATAAAGAAAACGTGATATGTGTGCACGATGGTCCTACGCAGCCACAAGGATAATAGAGTTGAGCTGTTTGTAAGAAAATTAATATAGTTGGTACTATAATGTTAAGCAAAACAAATCAGATACAGAAATTAACTATTGCCTGGTTTCTCTCATACAAAATATTCAAAGTATAAAGAGCAAAATAAATGATGATAAGGAACAAAGAGGTGTAACTTTTACAGATGGGAAGGAATCTAAGGAGAAGGGAGAAAGAAGGATGGGGGTCGTGGAAAGTAAAATGGACTAAGATGTAAGTATATATCTCCCTATGGTGAATGTGTTTATTACATATTGCAAACATGTACTAAGCTTAAACTTCTAGTACATAAATAAATAAACAAATGCATATTTTTAAAAAATTCATGTTTTGGGGTTAGGGATATAGCTCTGCAGCACAAAGCCTGCCTGAAAAGTACAAAGTCCTGATTTTGATTGTTGGTACCAGAAAAAAAAATGTAAATTTGTGTTCTGCTATGTAGGACTGTATGACGTTGAATAATCTGCTTAATCCTTTCCCTCTAAATGCTTTTATCCATAAAAATTGCAAAATAACAATGTCAATTAGTTATAGACATATATATTATTTTTGTAAAGATTAAATGTATTAATGGGATTCATTATTTAATGTAAATGCATAAAATATGTAAATACATATAGCAATGTCTGAAAAATTGTAAAAAGTCAAAAGTATTATTTAATGAATTTGCTATTCCTCCTTCTACTACTAGCACCATTGCTTAATCTTGAAGCAGCACGAAGAAAAAAGGAACTATTCTCTAGAGACATATCCAAAATCCAGGACATAAAGTAACAGAATTTTGAGAATTTTCCTCCCTGAAGCAAACTTCATGACCAAATCTTAACATACAGAAAAAAATCAGCAGACCAAATAAACAAGACTATCAACACGTTCAAGGACTAAAGATAATACAAACTGTGAGAGAATGTATAAAATATATTCCAAGAATTAAAGAAATCATGTGCATTTACTAAAACTAAAGAAAATGAAATGTAAGACTAATAGGAAAATAAGCCATTCAAATGTATAAGCATTTTAAAGTGATCCCTAATTAAAACTTTAAAAACTTAGTAGACAAATTATATAACAGAATAGACATTGCTGAAAAAATTAATAAACCAAAAATATTTCTGAAGAAGTCACATAAAACCTATGCAAAGACAGCTGAAAAGTATTAAAGAGAGCTTAAAGGCAAAATACAAGGTCAGAGTACACAGCACATGAGTAATGTGAGTTCAATAATAATGAAAATAAAGTGAATAAATAAGAAGGCTATTCAAAGACAAAATCGGCAGGTGTCTGTCTGAATTAATGGTAGGAGTGATCAGATTAATACACTGATCCTTAGTTAGTAATCTCTATTTTCCATTGTATTGTTTTTAAATATGTAAATATCAAGTGCTCTGTATAGAATTATAGAGAGTCTTTCCTGATCCTTGTTTCTCATGGAAAAGTTATTGGAGTGCTAGTGAGTTAGTACCAGTCCACCACTACCAGTGCAATCCATGGTGAGAATAGAGACATTAAAGCTTATTTGTAATTGTGGAGAGCCAACGGAGTCCTAAGTCCAGCTAGGGTGATAACTAACCAGAACAAAGGCTTAGACCCAGGGTCAAGCTTGGGTTTTATTAATTCACGAAGAAGGAAGTATTTCCAGAAAGAGTGACTAAGAGAATGGTGGGAAGTACTTGAGTGCTGTGAACTGGACTAAGTAGGAGGCCTGAAATCACCTCTGTATTATGCAGAGCAAAGGGTATGCATAAAGAATAATCTGCATACTGCAATTTGAAGTAGTAGTTCATGTTTTAGGGTCAGCGCCTCAGCTCTGATGTGTGGTCTTTTATGCCTTTGGAGACCGTAGCCTCTCATCTCAAGGCTCGATCCCAGCCAACACGGTGGAACTGTGGAGCATGCCTGTCTCACACACGTTTTGGGGAGCTATCGACTGGGGCAGCACTGACCTGTAGCCTTGCTTCAGAGCTACACATCAGCACCCCGGTTAGACGGATCTGCATTGCTTTAAACCAACTGAAGGGATAAAGGAAGGTCTTGGCAGCTCTGTACAGGTCAATGCATGGCAACAGGACCAGCTTTAGACAAAACAGGGGTAACGGCTCTCCTTCCGAGAAGAGTCCTCCAGATGGTCCTCCACATAGATTTATGAACAAAAATTCAACCGCAAAATACTTTGTGGTGACTTTTGAAAATACGGGTAAAAAAAGAAAAGAGAGAAGAAAGGAAGATATTTAAAAACAATACAATGGAAAATAGAGATTACTAACTAAGGATCAATGGTTAGCACAAAAATGTCAGAAAATAACAAAATAATGTCCTGAAAGAGATAAAAGAAAATCAACTTTAGTTTCTATATTTAGCTGGAGCAGTAATTTTAATCATTTCTTCTCTTTTTGTGTGTTTTTCTTTTACAGGCTTCTGTATTTTGCTTATTCTGCTGTAGAAAGAACATGTCCAGGTACTCATTGTGGCCAGTGACCAGAATCAAATATTGGAATTATAGCGGCACTGCCTTAGAAGCAAATCTCAGTACTAAGAATTAGAAGTTCTCTCTCCAAAGCTATCCCCAAATGCTAGAGTCTCAATACTTACTCAGAAGTCCTAGGAGAGCAACCAATCCCTGGCTGGAATTT